CTGCACTGGCATGATCTCGGCTCAATGCAACCTCTGCCTTCCAGGTTCAAACGATTCTACTGCCTCAACCTCCCAAGTAGCTGGGATTACAGGTGTGTGTGACCACTCCCAGCTAATTTTTGCATTTTTAGTAGGAACGGGATTTTACTGTGTAGACCAAGAGGTAGAACTCCTGACCTCAAGTGATCCACCCTCCTCAGCCTCCCAAAGTGCTGGGATTACAGACATGAGTCACTGTGCCTGGTCAAGATCATTTACTTTTGTCTAACTCTTCTACCATTATCTCAGTGCAAGCCACTGCTCCCTCTCACGATCCTTTCTTCTGCAATGGTTTCCTTACTGGTCATCTCACATCCATTCTTGTCTATTTTTCCTTGTCCAATTCATATGTAATACTGGAGCCACATTTTAAAAGCCAGAACTTTAAAAACTCTAGGTCAGATCATGCTACTTTTTGCTTAAAATCTTCTAATGGCACATGACCCAGAAATTCTATTCTTAGGTATATAACCAAGAGAAATGAAACCAGATGTCCACGCAAAAACTTCTACACAAATGCTCATGGTAAAATTATTCACAGTAACTAAAAGGTGGAAACAACTCAAGTGTCCATCAACTTATGAATGGACAAACAAAATGTGGCATTATCTATATGATGAGTATTATTCACCTGTTTAAAGGAATAAAGTACTGATACATGCAATCAGGGATGAATCTTGAAAACGTTCTATTAAGTAGAAGAAGTCAGTCACTAAAGACCATATTTTTATTCCATTTATACAAAATGTCCAAAATAAGTAAGTCTATAGATAAAAAGTAGATCAGTGTTTGCTTAGGCCTAGGGGAAATAAGGAGACTGTTGGAATAGCTACAGGGTACAGGATTTCTCTTGAAGGTGATGAAAATGTTCTGTAAGTTACTGTGATGATGGTTGCACATATCTGTGAATATACTAAAAACCACTGCATTGTACACTTTAAATTGGTGAATTGTATGGTATGTGAATTCTTTCTCTCTACATATATATGTATATGATATATATATATATATATATATATATATATATATATATATATATGTATATAGCTCCTACCCACTCCTCAAGCTTCATCCTAGACCTCTCTTTCTCTACTCTTAGTCACAATGCCTTCTCTCAGGTTTTCCAAAAGATCAAGAACCCTTCCACCTTAGTGTCTTTTCAATTGCCAGACCTTTTGTTTGGAATCCCCATTCCCTTCTCTTCATGTAACTATTACTTAACCAGCAGATCTCAGTTCGGGCAGTATCACATCCTCATGAGAACCTTCTTTTATCTTCCAGGAGAAGACAAATCTTTTTTTTTTTTTTTAAGAGACAGGGTCATGCTCCGTGGTTGAGGCTGGACTACAGAGGTGTTATCATAGTTCATGGTAGTCTCACACTCCCGGACTCAAGAGCTCTTCTGGTCTCAGGCTCTTAAGCAGCTGGGAGTGTGTGCCACCACCCAGTTAATTTCTTTTATTTTTTTGTCTTGCTATGTTGTGTAGGCTAGTCTTGAGCTCCTGGTCTCAAGTGATCCTCCCAACTTGGCCTCCCAAAGTGCCGGGATGTGAGCCACCATACCTGACCAATAAGGGAAGTCTGTCGGCAGATCTTCGGTAAGACACCATTATAACAACTCATACTACTTCTTTATATTGCACAAATATTCATAATAACTAAAAGGTGGAAACATTTAACATTTGTCTTTTTCACTAGCATATTTGTTTCACAAGGGCTCACATCATATTTGTCTGGTTCACTGATATATCACCTGGGCTTCTCATAGCATCTGGCAACAGGTACTTCAAAATATTCAATAATTATTTTGAAGATGAATGAATGCTAGAGCATATCCAGTAAATGAGTCCAACAGCTCTACATCTAACATCTCCCTACTAATTTATCTTGTGCCATTCCTAAAATGCACTTATCTTGACCTGTACTTGATGTACCACATTCAACTAATAATTCACTAATATTTTGATTTAACTATTTGATTCATATATCTGGTCTCTGCAGCTGGTACTATTATTGATTGTAGGTTACAACATTTCCAGAAGGCAGTAAAACTAAGTTTCCCAAATAACAGTTCATGCAACTAGGTATTTAATAATGCAGTTTGATAAAGAATCTGATTTCCCCACTCTTTCTGGGATCATACTCTTAATGAGGAATTTACCTCATTTTACTTCTCTCAGCTCAGAAAGACTTTTTTAAAGAGAGTTTTTGTCAGCTAATGAAAAGATTACTTTTGCATTTAGTTTCTAGGTGAAACTAACAGTATCTAAATTACATTTGAGCTATTAAGTATACAAGCATTTTCTATTCAAGACTGATTTATTACTATTTCCTTGGCTGGAGACCAATTTTAAAAAGACAGTAATTGGCTCTGAAACCTGTTAGCCCAGAAAATTAGTTTCCTTCCCTTTTATGCAAAGAAATAAAAAAAAAAAAAAGGAAGAAGAAAAACACTATTTTTCAACTCAACATCTCCTTTAACTTCCTTCTCAAAATGTGTCTTTATATAAAAAAAGTTTATTTATAACAGACACATAAGAGCTGTCCTTATAATAAGCAAACATAAAAAGTTTAATTTGTATTGTATCTTGTAGATAAGACTTTTATACTTACTACATGTCCATACACACTCACATGGGACCTGATGGCTTCACTGCTGAATTTTACCAAACACTTAAGAATTAGTACCAACCTTACTCAAACTATTCTGAAAAACAGAAAATAAAGGAATACTTCCAACTCATCCGTTAAGACCAGCATTACCTTGATACCAGTCAGACAAAAACACATCAAAACAAAAAAAAAAGAAAACTATAGCCAATACCAGCAAACCAAGTTCAACAACACATTACAAAGATAATTCACCATGACCAAGTAGGATTTATCCCAGGGATGCAAGGATGCTTCAAAGATATACAAATCAATCAATGTGATACAACATATTGACAGAATAAAGGATTAAAAACCTTATGATCATTTCAACTGATGCTAAAATAGCATTTGATAACAGTCAGCACCCTTTCATGATAAAAACCCTCAAAAAACTGGGTATAGAAGGAACATATTTCCACACATTAAATGCCACATATGACAAACCCATAGTTATTATACTGAATGAGGAAAACCTGAAAGCCTTTCCTCTAAGATTTGAAATAAGAGAAGGATGTACACTTTCAACCACTGTTATTCAATATAGTGCTGGAAGTCCTACCTAGAGCAATCAGACAAGATAAAGTAATAGGCTGGGCACAGTGGCTCATGCCTGTAATCCTAGCATTTTGGAAGGCCGAGGTGGGAAAATGGATTGAGCCCAGGAGTCTGAGACTAGCTTGGGCAACACAGTGAAATCCCACCTCTATTAAAAAAAAAGAGGGGGAGAGAGAGAGAGAGAGAGAGAGAGAGAGAGAAATAATAAGTGACATCCAAATTGGAACGGAAGAAGTCAAATTACCCTTGTTTGCAGATAATATGATCTTACATTTGGAAAAACCTAAAGACTTGTCCAAAAAAAAAAAAAAAAAACAATTAGAACTGAAAAATTCAGTAAAGTTGCAGAATTCAAAATCAACATAGAAAAGTCAGTAGCATTTTTATCTGCCAACAATGAACAACCTGAAAAAGAAATCAAGAAAGTAAACCCATTTACAATAGTTACAAATAAAACAAAATACCTAGGAATTAATCAAAGAACTAAAAGATCTTTACAACAAAACTATAAAACACTGATGTAAGAAACTAAAGAGCATACAAAAAAAGGATATTCCATGTTCATGGACTGGAAGAATCAATATTGTTAAAATGTCCATACTACCCAAAGCAATCTACAGATTAAATGCAATCCCTATCAAAATACCAACGATATTCTTCACAGAAATAGAGAAAATAATCCTAAAATTCATATGGAACAACAAAAGACTCAGAATAGTGAAGCCACCCTAAGCAAAAAGAACAAAAGAATAACATTATCTGACTTCAAATTATACTACAAAGCTATTATAACCAAAGCAACATAGTACTGACATAAAAACAGACACATAGACCAATAGAACAGAGTATAGAAATCAGAAATAAATCCATACATCTACAGTGAACTCATTTTTGACAAAGGTGCCAAGAACATACATTGGAAAAAAAACAATCTCTTAATACACACAAAATATTAAAGTGCCTTCCTTCGGATATTCAAAATAATATGAAGTCAAACTGAAATCTAAATTTCGATAAGATTTCACCTTGTCTAATCTTAACAAGGGATAACTACAGACTTAGTTTTTAAGTACATTTGAAACTTCCAAATGGAGTACATTCTATTTTTTAATACTTCCTCAAGTAGGAGAAAAGGGCCCATTCTTGCTTGGTCACATTTTCCAAGGTTTCTTAACCCTGACAATCAAAAAGTTTTTCTTAGCTTCCACCTTACATGTCTTTTATGTCAATTCACAATGTTCTCTCATACCTTCTCTCTAAAGAAATTACAGAATAACTAGTCACTTTTCTTTTACCATATCATCACATACTATTCATTTCCTTTTCTGGTATTCTACTCAAATTAATCAAAACTTTATATCCTTCTATTTCTTTGAGCCTTGTGTCATACTGTTACTTTTCTTTGCTGCCAGAGAAGTCAACATAGACTATCCATGAACAAAACAAAAGATCCTTCTCTGTGCTTCACTTCACAAGTTCTCCATCACAAAATGGAGAAATAATGCCTAAAAACTATCTCTATCACAAGACAAACAAAAAAAGATATGCCTAAATCCATAGCAGTGTAAGTGTCTATGCTAAATAATCAGAAACAGTTGAGGTCTCCACCAAAAACCGATTGCTCAGAGGCAAAAGACAGAACATAATATATATTTTCATAAATGTATTTGAAATTGGGAAAAACACTTTATGCCCATTCTTTTATCTTCTACCTGAAGCAGAGCCCCACAAATGAAATTAGTAACCCAACATACCTCCTCTTCTCCCTGGCTTCCACAGAGGAGTCTGTTCCAGTAATGGAGAGCACAGGAGTAGTTGTAACCCCATTGGCAGTGCTTGGCAGAGGGTGATTGGTGATCACACAAAGCGGGGTGCTAGAAGAGACATTGTCTGCTGTTTTCTCTGCTGTGGAGTCAGCCTGGGATTTGTGAGGAATCCTGAAATCAAAAAAGATACAAGCAGAGAGGAAATGGTAAGTCATGCCATACAACAAAGCACTGGTACAGAGACAGAGGATTAAATAGAGGTTCAAATAGGAAATCTTGCTCTGATTTTGTTTTTTAATTTTGAGCTCTTACAGCTTGGAATAGTATAATTACACATTTAGTCTGACATCCTTTGCCTGAGGAGTTACATTTTATGAGACTTGTATGTGTACGTGTGTGCCTGAGATTTTATTTTAACAAAAATCATTAGCTATGGCACAAGGCGAGATAGTGACATATGCAAGAGTGCTTTAAATGACTCCCCGGTAGCATCTGGTCTCCACACACGCACACGGAGACAGGGCCTCTCTACACAAGAAAAAGACACTAAAGTCACTTACGATATTAGTCCCCACCTGTTCCTTAATTCTTGGCAGTCGGAGTCTTTGTGGTAGTCCTCAGCCTAGATTTGATAACCATCTTCTTGAATTATCCAGAGACAACTGATACTCTAAAAACCTTGGTATGCTTAGTTCTCCCTTACCTAGTTTAGCAACTGTTCTTTCTTTCCATTTAACCAAATGCCTAATTGTCTATATTCACAACTGCAAAAGTGAGAAATTGAAACAAAAACCAAATCGGATTCTATAAGTAACCTTAACTACAGACTTTTCAACAGCAAGCTGTATAATTAAACTCATTTACATGAAAACAAGATCTTTGTTTCTTAACAAAGAGTTGGAAGCAACCATTGGCTCTCCACCCAAAAAGCTATCATTTGTGATGTCACAGCTGTTGCTGGGGTAACAGAGATCCAAAATTGATACAGAGATGGAGAAAGCAATGAAAAGCACAAATACTAAAAATCTATTTTTTTACCTACTCACAATTATTACCTGTAAAATGTTCACAGGTAGCTCTAAGCTTACTTCCAAATAATCACATTACGAGCTTGAAAAAAATAATCAAAATGTAAAAACCTAAACATGGTACCTAGATGCAAATATAAAAACAGAATATTTTAAAAGATAGAGGTAGTATCTAAAAAACACAAGCTACTCTTACAGAAGCAATTAATAACTAAGAAAAAAGGTGAAATTTTATAATCATTTTATTTTTTATAGTAATTTTTTAAATTAAAAAGGCAAAAAATTCCTCGGACTTACCAGATATGAGTCTATAGGAAGTACTAATAAATAAGCTAGACACACAGCTATAAAAAATTACACTTAACCAAACCTTACCTGAAGTTCTTTTTAGGTTAATAACATGTTTTGGTCTCATTGTAATTTCTTATGCTGTTGAAATGCCCAGGATTTAATTTTATTAAATTACATAATAGGACTTTTACTATACTTTAATATGCAGTATAATTTTATAAGTAGATTGTTAGAATAAGAACAGTCCTAGAGCAGAGATCAGAGGATATACAATGGAGTAGAATAAATATGGGCTTTGGAAATACTTGGGGCTACATTTAAGCAAATGTACCTTCTCTGATCTCTTCTTCATTGATAAAATAGAGATAATGGCACCTTAAAATACAGGGTTCTTGTAATGATTAAATAATGTCTGTAAAACACCTAAAATAGTGCCTGGAATAAAATATAAACTCAGCAGAAACAAACAGTGACAAAATAGATAAGAGTTTTGAAATGGACAAATCTAGGTTCAAATCCTACCTCAGTTCCTCACTAGCTACGTGACCTTCAGCAGATGATTAACCTTTTGGCCTGAGTTTCCCCATCTATAAAATAATACTTCATATAATAGGGGGCTCATTATAAGACAATAAATGATATATGTATGCATGAGACAGGTAGTTGTCTAACCCATATCCATTGTCCCTCTTCTTTATGAAATGAATGCCTATTTATTGAGGGTAGCAATGTACCCAGTTAAAAATCCACACTTCTCGGCTGGGTGTGGTGGCTCACACCTATAATCCCAGCACTCTGGGAGGCTGAGGTGGGTGGGTCACCTGAGGTTGGGAGTTCGAGACCAGCCTAACCAACATGGAGAAACCCTGTCTCTACTAAAAATACAAAAATTAGCTGGGCATGGTGGTGCAGGCCTGTAATTCCAGGTACTCAGGTAGCTGAGGCAGGAGAATCGCTTGAACCTGGGAGGCAGAGGCTGCACTGAGCCAAGATCTGCCACTACACTCTAGCTTGGGCAACAAGAGTGAAACTCTGTCTTAAAAGAAAAAAAAAAATCCAAAAAACAAAAACAAAAAAACCCATACTTCTCAGTCTCCTGGCCACTAGAGGTATGCAATGAGACATATGCAGGCAAGTAGTACTGCTGGGAAAATTCTCAGTTCAGCAGCCTTCTTTTTTTATCTGCTTTTCCCTTTCCTCCTTCTTCCTTAGAGTACAGCCATGATGGCTAGAGGTCCAGGAGTTATTCTGGACCATGGGGCAACCCATGGAAATGGCAGCCATGATGCAAGACTTGTGGAGCAGAAAGAACCTGGGTCCTTTAATGACTGTGGAGCTACTGAGCCAGCTCTGCATATTTCTGGATTCTCTTAAGTGCAAAAATAATAATAATAATAATAATAATAATAACCTTTAACTTATTTAAGCCACTACTATTTAGATTTATCATTACATATGAGCAAACTAAACCCCAATATAATTTTTATATAATACCTAACCAAATGCCTGTCACATAATAGGGTCCAACAAATGGCAGCTGGAATTATTTTCTCTCGGTTGCAGCTTTTTTTTCCCCCCCAGACAGAGTTTCACTCTGTCTTCCAGGCTGGAGTGCAGTGACACAATCTCGGCTCACTACAACCTCTGCCTCCCGGGTTCAAGCGATTCTCCTGACTCAGCCTCCTGAGTAGCTGGGATTACAAGCACCTGCCACTGTGCCCGGCCAGTTTTTTTGTATTTTTAGTAGAGGTGGGGTTTCACCATCTCAGTCAGGCTGGTCTTGAACTCCTGACCTTGTGATCCACTCACCTTGGCCTCCCAAAGTGCTAGGATTACAAGAGTGAGCCAACGCGTCCAGCCCAGTTGCAGCTCTTAATACTTATAGTAATATATATATATATAAAATTATGAGACTTGTAATATATATAATTACATATATATTATATATATAATTACATATATAATAATGTATATTATATGTCAAATATAATAGTAATATAATATAGTAACAATAACCTTTCTGTGTTTCTTCATCTATGGTGATAATAATTAACATGTCTATGCAACTGGATTATTACAGGACCTAATAAATTAACCCATAATTATACAGTATTATTAATAATCCATCATAAACCCTTCCCTCCTGGCTGAATTAATGATCATCACTTATTTTAGGGAAAGAAATCTAGTAAACTGACAAATATCAATCAAGCAGCACCAACACTGGCATTCTTGCAACAACACTATCATTAAGATTTTTTTCATTTTCTTTATCAGTTGTAGACACAGACCCAAGAAAAGGAGACCCTTTGCCACCACACAGAAAGGATTAAAAGCCACAGTTAAAACGACAGTCAAAGTCCTAACATCCTTTCACAGTTACTCTCTACCATGGTATCCCTTAGATGAACTAGAAACCAGAAAGATACTGCCCCCAGAACACAGTTTAGACAAGCACAAATCTCTCCCTTCTTACAGGGTGTCCAGCAAAATGTTGTCGTTGGCTGGGAGTTTTCAGAAGGCTATCACAGGCTTTTGGAAAATGAGCTAGCTTTCTTTCTGATTTAGGTTTGTATGCCATTTAAAAGACTAAATACAAGAGATTCCTATTACAATTACTGGAAAATTAATAGAAGTAAAATATGAAAATATTTTCAATATTTAATTTACCACAATGGTATGACCCTTAAATTGGAATCACAACTGGTAAGGTTGTTGAGAGATGAAATTAGTCATCTTAAGCTGATGTCCAAACACCAAGTACAATTATACATACCCTTTAATTATTCAATATGCAACTGTTGACTGGCTAATAAAAGTCAAAGCAAAAACATCCTCATTAAATTTCAGATTTTTCTCAGGAATTCTAACTTCTTTCTATAGTGATAACGTCTCTTTGTTTCAAATTTCATGTGTTTTCAGAGGCATTAACTTTGATGAATGCAACTCAAATGGCTCGAAGAAGCCTTACCTGCCATGATGTACAGATGCAGTAGTGTTTGCACTGATTGGTGCAGGGCAAGAAGAGGCAGGTTGCCACTGGCTGCCCCGAGAGGTAGATGAACCAATGGTAATGGGTGAGGTAGCAGGAGATGAATTGCGATTGGCTGAAATGTAGGGACTTGTGGGGTCACTACTTCTACCAAATGAAGCACTGCAAAACAGCACACAGTCACTTTCTTCAGGACATGCTGCTCACCCACCATTTCCCAGCACCACCTTCCCACCCAGATTGTGCACTTAAAAGGAATATAGACTAAAGAAAGGGTATGACAACTGGGAAGTGAAGTGATCAACTCCAGCTAGAGCTGAGTCACTGGCAGCAGCAAGTAGGCAATCATCAAAAGAATGAAGGAATCATCACTCTTTGAAGGATGGTCATTTTGGTCAATCATCCAAAAGAGTGAAGGAACATGGAGGAAGAAAGATGATCCTGAATGAGGGAAAGCAGGAACGTAGATTTTATGGTAAGAGGAGAGGCTAAGCAAGGGAATAATAGGAAATAGAATAATTTTATTAGAGCAAATAATTCGCAACAAACCCAAGGCAAATAATCATGCAAACCCAAATGTCTACCTGATATAGAATTAGCACTGTAAAAGCTAAAGTAAGACCAGAGAATTTGGAGAGGTTGTGGAGTAGAAATTTAAATTTTACAAGTGGAAAAGAGTAAAGAAGCTCTGAAAAAAAATGACTTTGAGAACTGCAGTTATTCAGCCTAAAGCAAAATTGCCTTTGGGAGGATTTAAAGTTTTAATTCTAGAAAATAATAATGTATGAGCAATAAAAGGCAACTTTTATTTGTTTCAACTGAAGACAGGTAAGAACCATCTCACTTGCAGCAAAAAATTATTTGGGTCCAAATTTTAAAAATATTTATTAGGCCGGGGGCAGTGGCTCACACCTGTAATCCCAGCACTTTGGGAGGCCGAGACGGGTGGATCACAAGGTCAAGAGATTGAGACCATCCTGGTCAACATGGGTGAAACCCCGTCTCTACTAAAAATGCAAAAATTAGCTGGGCATGGTGGTGCATGCCTGTAATCCCAGCTACTCGGGAGGCTGAGGCAGGAGAATCACTTGAACCCAGGAGGCGGAGGTTGCGGTGAGCCGAGACTGTGCCATTGCACTCCAGCCTGGGTAACAAGAGTGAAACTCCGTCTCAAAAAAAAAAAAAATTTATTGACTATAATAGAAATGAGACACTTGAGGGGATAACCAAAAAAAGCTATAAAGCTATCCTTGGAAAAGAAGTATTTTAATATGGGCCACGTGAAAGGAATTTCTGCCTAGACACAAGAGATGAACTAGAAAACGGAATGTGTATGAAGGTTTGGCATAGCTGGGAAATGACAAATTTCTCCTCACACTTGCTCTTTTAAATGGTGATGGCATATAATTCTTTCCTTTTAAAAAGATCACAAGATAGGCTTTTATAAAATTAAGAAGTGCTTTAGGGTTACAGGAGAAGAGCTTTGGAAATCCAAGGTATGAAGCAAGTTGTAGATCTTTTCCTCAAAAAGTGCTCACATCATTAAGCATGGTTTTGATCCTAAATAGAGGCAACCCTTCCCTTCACTGTTCACCATAACTTTGCCAAACTACATCTATCAAACCAAATGCCTCTCAACCAATTTGCTGATTATTTGGATCAAAAAAATCAACAACCTCATCACAGAATAACTCCATGCCTGGAAATTAAATGCCAGCTTTCTCCCTTCCCTTGATCTAGAACATTATTTTCTTAGAAAAGTTTTCTTGATCTTGGATCCAACCATAAGAAATAATAATGCATCTAGGAAGACCAAGGCCTTAGCCATTAAGACAAATAGGTGACAGCCTCCTCATAAAGCAAGAAACACCTCTTTTGTATAATGAAGCATCAGTGAGATTATCAAACTTTCATACTTCCAAAGTTGAGCCCTTTCTTATAGAATGTATCTAAAGAACTGAAGAACATTAAAAGGCAACAGTGGCTGTGTGTTTTATAGCTATTTCCCACATTCCCACACTGACAAGTCTTCCTGTCAAGTGGAAATAAGTGTTGATTCCAAAGAGTTAATGTGCGAATCTAGTCTACGGCCAGGGCCTGTTTCTAAGGTAGCAAACCAACCATCTAAAAAACCTAAGGCTATGGTGTGAGGATACAGTGGGAGGGGTTAAGTGGAAGTGAAGAAAGAATTCAAAGGAAGCAATAAAAAACAGATTCTTCCACATTAGCAGCGAAGTTCAAATTAAAATATTAATTAAGTATATTTTACAGCTTAATGGCTCTGGCAGAGGTGCTTGGTTTGCTGGCTAGTATGTGGCAAAGAAAATAATTGCAGAAAAGGGAATATAGATGAGAAAAGAAGGAAACCCATGTACCTTCTCTGCACCAAACTTGCGAGTTTCACATCTTGATGGATCTGAGGGCCATTAAAGTCATAAGAAAAAAAAACAACTCAAGTCCCTAAATTAACAGGCTTTAGTATGAAACTTCTTTAATGCAATAGAAAACTGTCCCCATTTCCCACCCCTGACCACCCTATAGTGTCCCTCCCTTCCTCCCCCCAAAAATATCACATGGGATGAGAACTACTCTACTTCAGAAAAGGGGGGAACCAGCTACAGAACAAGGATAACTTAAATTCACTCTTGCTCAGAGATTACTGAAAGTCCCTCCTGACTGAAAATTTTAATAAGACAGAGAGGATGAAATATAAAGCCAGATCTATAGTAAGAACCTGAAATTAGCTTACTTTAATTCAATTATTAAGAGAATAAATTAATTTTATTTTTAAATTATTCAAGACGTTAATTCTAAGAAATCTAAAAGTAATTCATTTTGATTCATTTCTATGGTGTTAATTGGACATAAAAAGGCATGCAATTATTACCCATATTCCCATGGTTAGAGTGAAAGAAACATCTCCCACCCTCTTTGAGCCTGGTACCTTTTCAAGTAGGTTGATACATAGGTGGAGGGAGCAATTGTCTGTGGGGTTTCATGTCCCTTTGCTTCATCCCTCCATAGCTGCCGGGTATAGGAGCCACTCCTCACTAGATTAACAGCTGATTCTCTGTAGAAGCATGAAAGAAAAACAAAACATTGATTCCTACCACTAGTTTCTGTTCATGATACAATACAGAGAGAGAAGAGCAAGACAGGCAAACTGTAACATGGCTAATAGACACATTTTTCACGTGATTCTGTTTTATATACCTGTTTTCTGTACAGAATAGAAGTATTACTGTCTGCTTTCTTTTATCAACTTTGAACCAATTAATTTCAACAGGTACCAAAGTCCTCATGCCAAAGGTCTCTAATCCTTTTGCAATGAGAAGTCACTTTTGATCCTTATTTAAAAAGTACTTTGCAGCTGGGCATAGTAGTTCACAATTCCAGCATTTTGAGAGGCCGAGGCAGGCAGATCACTTGAGCTCAGGAGTTTGAGACCAGCCTGGCCAACATGGTGAAACCCCATCTCTACCAAAAATGCAAAAAAATTAGCCAGGCATGGCGGCACATGCTTGTACTTGGGAAGCTGAGGCATGAGAATCGCTTGAACCCAGGAAGCAGAGGCTGCAACAAGCTGAGATCATGCCACTGCACTCTAGCCTGGGTGACAGAGTAAGACTGTTTCAAAAAATAAAGGACAAAAAGTGTATTGCAATCTGTCCCAGTGTAGGTGGCTTTTAAGTTAAGCAGAAAAGGAAATGATGGGGGAAGATGAAGAAGTCTGTTACCAAGAAAAAAGTTTACTGCAGAAGGGGAAAGGGAAGGAAGACTTGCTGGAAGCCTCTTTAGCATTATAAATGAAAAGGTATCCAGGAAAGTGCTGCAGTAGGATTTTTGATCCACAATTGGTAACTCAGGGTCTTTGTTACAAAAGCTATGGGTCTCCATGCTTCACAAGGTTCTCTAGCACAATCCTTCTCAAACATTAATTGTATTAATATTTCAATAACCCAGGAAATTTCATTAAAATGCAGATTCTAATTCTGTAGGTCTGGAGTAGGACCTGAGATTCTGCAGTCCTAACAAGCACCCAGGCTAAGAGCAGTGGTTCATGGCTACAATCCCAGCACTTTGAGAGGGCAAGTCAGGAGGACTGCTTGAGGCCTGGAGTTTGAGACCACCCTGGGAAACAATAGCAAAACCTTGTTACTATTTAAAACTTTTTTTTATTTTAATAAAAATAAAATGTACCTGGGTGATACCAATGCTGCTGGCTAAGGTTTAAGATCACATTTTGCCCTAAGATGCAGCAATACTTCAAAATCCCTATATTTATTTTAACTAATTAGGAAGACTTTAATTTTACCTTCTGACAAATTAGAATTTGGTCAATTTAATTAAATAACATTATTTTAGTGTTTACTATGTGTGAGGCACTGTGCTAGGAACTAGGGGTCCTTGAGAAACCAGACAGACACAGATCCTACCTTTACAGAGCCTGTTGGAGGATTAAAACTAATCTATGTACGGAAAAATTGGGGAAGACTTCCTAAAGACAGTAATGTCTAAGCTGGAGTTAGAATTTGAAGAATAAAGAACTGGCATAGCAAGGATATAAGAGTTGAGAGGCGTTCTAAGCAGAAGGAACAAACAATTCATAATGTGGTAAGGCCACCTGAGGGAAAAAATCGGAAGAGTAATGGCCAGGAGATGACTATAATGAGCAGACCTAAGAGGACGAGAACCATCTTTTGCCCAACGTTAGTATTACCTGTTCTCCTTTTCTTCAATGTCACTTGTGCTATTGAGCTTCCGGGGTGCTAGTGAACTAATATAGCTTTTGTTTTCTCTCTCCTGTAAAATAAAAACAAGTAAAGCACAAGAAAGGTACAATACTGGCACAGTGTAAAACATTTTGAGTAAAAAAGCAGAACTTAATATACCTATATAATTTTATTTCTGGATCCAACATTAATTCTATTTTGAGTGGTATTTACAAAAGGTTAGCTTTCAAAAGCTTATTCCTAACTTTCTTCCATTAAAAAAACAGTATGAAGGGAAATAATTCTCATGGGAAAGTCAGGATGAGCAAATAAATAAAAGAGCAGCACAAATTATACAAAGCAGCAGCTATGCCAAGAGAGGAGGAGAGCCTCTGAAAAGCCACAAACAGAAAGCTCCACTCTAATATTCCTGACGAAATAAGATTTATGTAGTCTCCAGTAGTCCCCAGTACATCTTCTCCTTGAAATACAGCTTCCTTAGGACTATGTACAATAAGTATGCTGCAGAGTTAATGCAACCAATGTGCCTCATCTCTTTGAGTAGTCTCCAGAAATATCAAGCAAGAGGACTGTGATTACAAGATGTGATCCCAAAGAAAAGCACTAAGAGAATCCTATAAAATCTGGAACTAAAAAGGGGAGAAAATAAAAATTTACTTTTTTTTTTTTTTTTTTTTGAGACAGAGTTTCGCTCTTGTTACCCAGGCTGGAGTGCAATGGCACAATCTCGGCTCACCGCAACCTCCGCCTCCTGGGTTCAGGCAATTCTCCTGCCTCAGCCTCCTAAGTAGCTGGGATTACAGGCACGCGCCACCATGCCCAGCTAATTTTTTGTATTTTTAGTAGAGACGGGGTTTCACCATGTTGACCAGGATGGTATCGATCTCTTGACGTTGTGATCCACCCGCCTCAGCCTCCCAAAGTGCTGGGATTACAGGCTTGAGCCACCGCGCCCAGCAAAATTTACTTATCTTGAATGAATATACAAACTATTTGGGAAGTTGGCTTAACCATATTTTCCATATTAATGAAAGGATGACAAGTTAAAAGATTTTTTTCTAAGTACTAATTTGCCTGAGCTTTATTTGGATTCAAAGCCCAGGTAAGGGAGCTTTGCTTCTAAACATCAGAAGAAGTTTCTTTCAGGAGAACATCTTAGGCCATATTAAAATTTTTTTTTTTGAGACAGGGTCTCACTCTGTCACCCAGGCTGGAGTGCAATGGCCTGGTCTTGGCTCACTGAAACTTCTGTCTCCCCAGGTTCAAGTGATTCTTGTGCCTGAGTAGCTGGGATTACAGGCACATGCCACCATGCCTGGCTAGTTTTTGTATTTTTACTAGAGACGGACTTCCACCGTGTTGACCAGGCTGGTTTCAAACTCCTGACCTCAAGTAATTCACCCACCTCAGCCTCCCAAAGTGCTGGGATTTTTTTTTTTTTCAGGGTGGGAGGCTTTATTTCACTGTGGTGAGGAGGGAGCCTATGCAGGGCAGGTGGGGCAGGTGAGGCAGGTGGGGCAGGTGGGGCAGGTGGGGTAGGTGGGGCAGGTGGGGCAGGTGGGGTGGGGGGGCAGGGGGGGCAGGGGGGGCAGGTGGGACAGGTGGGACAGGTGGGACAGGCAGGGCAGGAGGGCCTGCCCCCAAGCCTACTGAGGAGAAACTGAGGCCAGCCCCAGCAGAGACCTAGCCCAGAGGGAGGAGGGCTGGGAGGAACCTGGGTCTGGAGGAATGAGGGCCCCTTTCCTCTAGGCTTTCCTCCTAGAGGGCCTCAGTCCCTCCTCTGGTTGAGGAGAAGGAGGCCAGATCAGAGAGGGCAGTGGACAGAGAGTCTGGGGGAGTCAGGGAGCACAGGGCAGGGTCCATGGTGTGCAGAGGGGGTGGCGTCCACCTGGGCAGTCAATTTCCGGCAGTGATGACCACAGAGAACGCCACACCCCCTAAGGCAACAGCAGTCACCCCAAATAGCCACTTCCACGAGACTGACCAGGCACCCTTGCCGGGGCACTTGGTGGGCAGCCAGCTGAGGTCGCCCAGCATTTTCCAGTATAGGGCAGTCTCCGTGCTCCACTGTGCCACGTGCTTCTTCACCAGTTTCAAGAGCTCTGCGTGGATCATCTTGTTGGAAGGTTCCAGCTTCAGGGCTGCCCTCAGGATGGGGATGGCCTCACTACACTCGCCCTGCTAGGCCTTTGTAAAAGAGAGCCTTGATGTTGTCTAGACAGTGTTCCAGCACGAGGCTGCAGGAGTGCAGGGCTATGCGGTAGTGGTCAAGGTTCAGCTGCGAGGCCACCAGGTTGTTGAGATGCTTCACCTTCAGCCGCAGAAGCTGCTCCTCCTCTTCGAACGTCATGTCCACTTTGGCACTAGAGGTGATAGTCTTGATGGCGAGGTCATAGGAGTTGGTGGCCAGAAAAAGTCCTCCCGCTGATAGTGGGCGCTGCTGCACTCCCACTTCTGGCTGGCCAGGGCCATGCACTCCTGCCCCGTGAGCATCTCCAGGTCAGGCCCGTCTGTGGCCGTCTTCGGGGTCACCTCCAGGCACAGGGCTGTGTATCTATGGGCTCCTGCCCTGGGGGCCATAGCAGTACTTGGAATCAGCAGAGACCATGGCCCTCTCCCCTACGTCCCTGAATGAGACACTAAGATCCAGGGCCTGGATGACTTCACAGTCACTCAGGGAACACCAGCTCTGGCTTCTCCTGCACCAGTGTGCTGTTCTCTCATGATATGCAAATGCATGGTCACCACCTGGCCCTTGACTGGGCAGCTGGAACCCGGCAGCCCTGGGACCAGTGTCTTCTTCCTAACAGCGGGTTCCTTAGGATGTCCAGCCACTCTTCCGGGACAGGAGAAGGGGCAGGCTCAGGCTCCATGGCAGTGAGGACTCTCAGGTCGGGGGCCCTAGGCTGCTCAGCCTCCTCTACCAAGGGCTGTCCCATATCCTCCAGCAATAGCAGCTCACTCAGGTCATCTTCCTCCTCCTCTTCCTCACCCTCTCCCCAACCCCTCCCAGCACCACGAAGTCCTCAAGCAGTGGGACCGAGGTGGGAGGCGGGGGGCGGGGTGGGGAGTGGGGGGTGCTCAGAGGGTTCAGCACAGGATGCCATGCTGCTGGGGGTATGAGAATTGGCCCTCTGGCTCCAGGACGCGGTCCTTCCTGCACCCTCCTCCACCATATTAAAATTTTTATGTTTCTGATCCACTTTTTGCTTTAGGTAAGAGAGCAAGGAAGAATGGACAAACCAAAAGGAAAAGCTATTTTTAAAGCTTTTTTTTTTCTTTTTTGGCCAAGCAAATAATAGCAACCAAATAGCTAATTGATTAAACTATCAGTGTCTCTGTCTCCCTTTAAAGGCTTTGCATTTCCAAAATCAAATTAAGGACTAGAAAATATTTTCATTTTTCCTAAGACTGAATTTTCATTGGGAAAAAAAAGTGCCTTGGAATTCCCCCTTACCCTACCCAAACTGCACCTTATCTTTGTTGTCCAGCAGAGCAGAAATCCGAGGGCTTGAAGAAGAGCGGTAGACGGAAGAGCCTCGGTCCCTTAGAGGTTCCCTGGAATTGGCCACCTCACTCAGCATGTTGTGGCTGCCAGTTTTTCTCAGTCCCAATCTCCATGAAGAAGGAGATTCATCTTTGGGCTCTTCCAGCTTGTTAAAAAGGCCAGAAGAGAACTATGAAAGAAGCAAATAAAAGAAAAGAAAAAGAAAGGCTCTGATGATTCTTTCTTAGCCTATTTGCCTTTTCCACACTTAACTAAGTTCAGAGAGGCAACACAGGATAGCTAGGAAGAACAAATACATGGCAGGCTTTCTGCCAGTGTTCCCTTCCTCACCCAGCAAACCCTAATAACCTCTCCAGGCTCTTTCTTCCTAAGCCAAAAATACCCTCTGATTCTCCACACAGTGCTCCTACGTGACAAAGTTGTTCTGAGAAATTAAACATCATTTGCTATGCCTGTGCAATTAATACTGACATGGAACACCAGGAGATTGTATTCTAGTAATATACCTTCTTCTAACTCACTGTGGGCCGGGCGTGGTGGCTCATGACTGAAATCCAAGCACTTTGGAGGCCAAGGCAGGTGGATCACCTGAGGTCAGGAGTTCAAGACCAGCCTGACCAACATGGTGAAACCCTGTCTTTAAACAATAAATAAATAAAATAAAATAAAATAAAAAACTCACTGTGGAACTGAAAATAAGATACTTTACTTCTCTAGGTTTCAACATGCTCATCTGTAAAATAACAATAATGAGCTTAATCCCTCCTTATAATATGTGGAGACCAGAAAAAATTAGACCAGCTAATTTATCTTTTCTTTTTCTTTTTCTTTTTGAAGTAGGGTCTCACTCTGTCACCCAGGCTGGAAGGCAGTGGCCTAATCAGGGCTCACTGCAGCCTTGACCACCTGGGCTCAAGTGATCCTCCCACCTCAGCCCACTGAGTAGCTGGGACTACCAGCATGCACCACTGTGCCCAGTTAATTTTCTCTAAATTTTAGTAGAGACGAGCTCTCCCTATATTGCCTAGGCTGGTCTCAAACTCCTAAACGCAAGCAATCCTCCCACCTCAGCTTCCCAAAGTGCTGTGATTACAGGCATGAGCCCATGCTCAGCCAGGAACAAGCTAATTTATAAATACATTTTAAGGTACTATGATAAAATGATTTAAGTTAACACTGATAAAAATTCTAGAAGCCACTCCACTCAAATTCAAGAAAATTTATTTGCTCTAGAGTAGCAGTTCAGAGAACTTTAGATTTCACTGACCAGGGGGGAAAAAAAAAAAAAAAGAGGTCAAAGGGTTGCTATGTTTTTATCTTTTAAATTAAATTTTGCCAAAAGAGAACAATATTCTGAAAGATGTTTTCTTTTTGAACAACTCATCATCACCACTATTTTCTTAAAAAAATAAAATTTTAACATCAGAAAAGAAAGCTTTATGGAAAGCTTACATTGTCCTTAATTATCTTATTTTGCCATAAACTAGGGAAACATCATAGACTAGCATTAGGCCAAGGACCTGCACTTTCGGGTACAACTAGTCTTTGGAACACAAGCCAACAGACCTTTCCTGAGGTCCAGGGCCTTTTCAAGAAGACTTAGGCCTTTCTTCTAATACGAGGCTACCTTCACTGCCTGATATAGTGAAACATCAATAAAAATATTAAAACACTCATCTTGAACTCACATATAGATTTTCTCTTTTCATCAGTCATCTGAAGGTACACATTTATGTATTCCTTCCAGCTTTAGGGCTTCAATAATGTCAGCTTTTTACAAGCTACCTGATTCTAAGGGGGAAAATGCCTTTCCCAGCATCATTTAAGTGAAGTTGAGAGTGAGAGATAGAGCGCACGTGCACGCGCGCGCGCGCGCGTGTGTGTGTGTGTGTGTGTGTGTGTGTGTGTGTGTATGTTTTGAGACAGGGTCTCACTCTATCGCCCAGGCTGAAGTGCAGTGGAACAATCACAGCTCACTGAAGCCTTGACCTCCTAGGGTCAAGTGATTCTCCTACTTCAGCTTCACAGTCCCAAGTTGCTGGGACTACAGGTGTGTGCCACCATGCCTGGCTAATTTTTTTTACCGTTTTTGTTTGTTTGTTTGTTGTTTGTTTGTTTTTAAATAAAGACGGGGTTTCACCATGTTGGTTAGGCTGGTCTTGAATTCCCGGCCTCAGGCGATCCACCTGCCTTGGCCTCCAAAGTGCTTGGATTACAAGCGTGAGCCACCACGCCCAGCCTACTGTTTGTAAAGATGAGGTTTTCCCATGTTGCCCAAACTGGCCCCAAACTCCTGAGTTCAAGTGATTTGCCCATGTTGGCCTCCCAAAGTGCTGAGATTATATGTGTAGCCACTGTACCCTGTCTAATTTAGTATTTTTCTATTGAAAACAGTAGTAAAGCTAGGCATCCTTAGAAGCAGTGACAGTATATGAGGTACAACTAAATGACTGAATAATGAGTGAGAATTATATTTATTCAAAACCTCTTTAATTATTCACAATGAAGCTTCTAGGGATAAGTAGTCAGACCTTTGTTCTCTCATTTCCACAAGAATACCATAAGCCCAACTTTCCAATTCATAAAGTGCTAAGAAGATCAGTAAGTTCATACCTATATAACCATAGGGCTTTTTCAATAGCTTCATTCCAAAGAACTCAAATCAAATTCTTAACCTCAAAAGGAATTTTATACTTTGTAGAGCAGGGCCATTCAACTCAGTCTCACCGACTAGAAGCCTACAGATTCTCAAAGGCCTGCACAAAGTTACAGAAGGAGGTGCCTCTGGTATTTCAACAAATTATTTCTATATCTGCCGTCTACTCATCATAAGGTATAAAGACTTTACTCATGAAAGTAAAGTCTTGCCCCTGCCAGGGGGTATTAAAAAATAAATTAAATTAAAAAATAAAAAAAGAAAGTAAAGTCTTAAAAGAGAATTAGAAAAAGAAGAATAACCAATAAAACAATGAATGTTGGATGCTAGATATCTTCCAGCCCAGCCCACACTTTACATGTAGGCATCTTAACTTTAGATACAAAGAAAATAGGCAAATGTCAAAATCTCTTTGGTCTCAGACTACTCTCTCTTACATTATCTTTTTTTTTTTTTTTTTGAGACGGAGTTTCGCTCTTGTTACCCAGGCTGGAGTGCGATGGCGCGATCTCGGCTCACCGCAACCTCCGCCTCCTGGGTTCAGGCAATTCTCCTGCCTCAGCCTCCTGAGTAGCTGGGATTACAGGCATGTGCCACCATGCCCAGCTAATTTCTTGTATTTTTAGTAGAGACGGGGTTTCACTATGTTGACCGGGATGGTCTCGATCTCTTGACCTCGTGATCCACCCGCCTCGGCCTCCCAAAGTGCTGGGATTACAGGCTTGAGCCACCGCGCCCGGCTTCTTACATTATCTTAACACATGGTAGCCAAATTTGATCTTACAGATTTTTGGGGGCAATGTTATAGGTTGAAAGTTCGTGTCCTCCCAAAAGTCATATATTGAAGCACTAATTCCCAATGTGACTGTATTTGGAAATAGGGTCTGTGAGAAGTAGTTTAAACGAGGTCAAAAGGGTGGGGCCCTAATCCAATAGGGCTGGCTGGTTACCTTATAAGAAGAGAGACACCAGATCTCCTTCTCTCTGCCACGTTAGGACATAGTGAGAAGGTGGTTATATTCATGTCAGGAAGAGGGCCCTCACCAGGAACTGAATTGGCTGGTACCTTAATCTGAGACTTCCCAGCCTCTAGAACTGTGAGAAATACATTTCTGGTGTTTAAGCCACCCAGCCTGTGTTTTTTGCTATGAGAGCAGACTACGACAGGCAAGAATGTACATTTAAGGCCATTCTAGGTGTGTGCTACTGCAATAGGATGAAATATGATTCCCAAATTAAGTCAAAAATACTCACCCTCCTAGCAGAAGAGGAAGAGAAGGTATTTTGAGCTGGTGCTGGTATCTGCTCCGTGATACTACTCTTGTTTTCAGAGTTGGAATGGTTGACAAAGGCTTCCGTCTTTTTATCTGTTATTTAAGACAAGAGAAGTAACAAGTACTACTATAAACATCTTACCTTTGTGTCTATGTCCTTTTCTGCTAATAGAAAAGGTTTGCCCATTATCCAAATAGATTAAGGCCTTGTAATGCTTGGATGTAAACTAGCATAAGACCTCTTGCAACTGTTGGCAGAAGAAAATAAGCTCAATGTTATTTCCATCTTGGTAGGTTCCAAGTCCAACTTTCAGACAAAAACTGAAAACTATCTCCACTTATTATATCATATACAAAATCTATCTATAGGGATCTCATCCTTTTCTATAGTTTTACCTTTCATTTCTTTTTTTTTTTTTTGAGACGGAGTTTCGCTCTTGTTATCCAGGCTGGAGTGCAATGGCGCGATCTCGGCTCACTGCAACCTCCGCCTCCTGGGTTCAGGCAATTCTCCTGCCTCAGCCTCCTGAGTAGCTGGGATTACAGGCACGCGCCACCATGCCCAGCTAATTTTTTTGTATTTTTAGTAGAGACGGGGTTTCACCATGTTGACCAGGATGGTCTCGATCTCTTGACCTTGTGATCCACCCGCCTCGGCCTCCCAAAGTTCTGGGATTACAGGCTTGAGCCACCGCGCCCAGCCCATGTGACATGTATTTTATTCATGTATACTCCTTTCTATTCCCTGACTAGATATATCAACAAAAAATATTTAATAAATGTGAATGTCTGTTATGTTCCAGGCATTGAGCTGAGACCTGGGAGTTCAATAATAAACCCAGAGTTCCCAGACAAAATGATGAGTGCTACAGCAGAGTTAAGTAGGCAGTGCTAGGATAGAAGAACAGTGAGGTGGCCCATTTCCTTTCAGCTTCCTGCACCAGAACAACTTTTTCAATCTGCTGGATCCTACAGTCCTACAGAAATCACTCAACAAGCACTGATGGCCTGAAATGAATTTAGGTATAAATCGTACAAACAAATGTTTGGGAGCAGGAAAGCTCGGGGCATGTTTGAGGAAATTAAGCAGTCCAGCTTGGCCAAAATATGTCCTTATCTATGTACAGCATTGGAAAGGTCAGCTGGAGCTAGATTATGAAAAGTCCTGAAGGCCAGAGCAGGAGGCTTGGGGTTTATTTACTCTGCAGGCAAAGGCAGAGTAAGGGAGGTAGTCACAGGTTTAAATAGAGGTGTAGCATAATCAAAAGGGTACTGTGAGTGTTTATACCAATAGCAATGTGAAAATGGACAACAGAGAACAAGAGATCTGAGGCAAGGGTACACATCACAAAGTAATGACAGTAGTTCAGGCAGCTCCCTCCCATTTTTCTCATACCTTAGCCACTAACAAAAGTGATCTAGCATAGCGCAAGTTCAGATATTTGTTCCAAATAGTTGAAGGCTAGAATATGTAAGTTTTCAATAAATAATCAAATATCAAAAAGATGCACATTTATAAATTCTGACAGGTATTATAATGGCATTTCCAGAGCAAACTGTGAAGACTAACAATAGAAGTTCAAGTCTCAATGAAGAAAAGGTCATCTCGTACACTGTAAACTTAGCTGTTGCCTATCTTCTCTATAGAACTGATGGTTCTCTAACTTCCTTTGGTGACTGACATTCAAGGAGCCTCAGAGATTGAGACAGTAAGAAGGGTAGTATTCTCCCATAATGGAGACAAATCATATCAGCAAAGCCAGACCGCATCAGGAGCTGGTGCCCAGACAACAGAGTAAGTTAAATATCTTCATTATGGGTAGGTCAGCCATGGCAAAGTTCAGAGGAAAGCACAGACTCCATTATAAACTCAATGTGTGACCTCTTCCCCTCTATCAGAAACATTTCATCTTATCATGGACTCCAGTTTGGAGGAATAATATGGTAGTGAATGTGGGGCATAGGTACACTGTAATATCTCAGTTTACCATTGGCTTCCAATTATCTAAGGAGAACTATTTCTGTCGCAGTTGAACCTCTATTCAGTAAAAGCCAATATTCTTTTCTCAGTGTTTACCTGACTATAAATCAAAACCTGTGGATTATTTTATAGCTTCTTGGTCTGACCACATTCAGCACTTCACTTTCACTGTTAAGATTTCTGTCTTGTCAAACAATAAACTTAAGAAGCTCTAGGGCTAGGCATGGTGGCTCACGCCTGTAATCCTAGCACTTTGGGAGGCTGAGACAGATGGATCATTTGCGGTCAGGAGTTTGAGACCAGCCTAGACAACACAGTAAAACCCTGTCTCTACTAAAAATACTAAAATTAACTGGGTGTGATGGCATGCCCCTGTAGTCCCAGCTACTGGGGCAGAGCTGAGGCACGGGGATAGTTTGAGCATGGGAGGTGGAGGTTGCAGTGAGCTAAGATCATACCACTGCACTCCAGCCCGGGCAACAGAGTGAGACTCTGTCTCAGAAAAAAAACAAAAAACAAAAAACCTCTCTATATGAGGTATATGTTATCAGTAGCCATAAAGGTAAATGTGATTTTGTTACTTCCTCATTCCCCAACTCAAATAATGAGGGGGAAAAAGATTTTAGAATTCTATTTAGGGACTCACACAAACCTGAGAATTAAATGCAAGTATTTACCAGTTGGTTTGACCCTAAGAGCTTCTACAAGAGCTCATCTTCTTTGCCTCTCAGCACACTGACATTTTGGAATCTGGCCTCTATGCCATCTACCAAACTGAGGAAAGGACAGGTGGATCCCTCACTTAAGTATTATTATTTTTTTCTTTTTTAATTTTTTTGTAGAGGAAGGGTCTTGCTATGTTGCCCAAGCTGGTCTTGAACTCCTGACTTCAAGCAAGCCACCCTGCTTGGCCTCCCAAAGTGTTGAGGCACTGTACTTGGCCTTCACCTAAGAATTCTTTGTGTGCCTTATTATATGGCGACACAGGAATCAGCAGATATAGTCTAACATAGCTCACAGTTTTTGTATCAGCTGGTCAGCAGCAATTTGATCTCGTATCCTTGAAAACTAAACTTCAAGCTCTTTTTGGAGTCCTGTGAGGTGCTCCAAAGGTGCTAGCTCTCTGACAAGGAGTAATCTCCTTCTACTATGGAGATAGAGGATCTTTACTATGAACATGTTTGTATTACCTGCCTCCTTCTCAGTTTCTGACTCAGAAGCTTCATCTTCACCTTCCTCCTCCTCTGAGCTGGAGCTACTAGATTCTTTGTTTTCTTCCCCCGTTTCTTGGGACTTAGAAGTCTCCTCCTCATAGAGTATCTTCTCTTTGCTAAATTAAAGATGACAAATTGGGTATAATTCAGAAGTGATAATCAGGTTATAATAAAGGGAACAAGTCTATAAACCTATATGTGGAAACAATAACAGAAACACATTCAAATTCTTCTTTACATCTTTGTGTTCTTCTGAACCGTTCATTTTTGTAGACTAAGATTTAGTAATTGACTACAGAGTGTGACTCAAGGAAATCTGGCTTGTTTAACACACAGAAAACAAGAAGAGCTATGAATTTTGATGATGGTGGATACATATTCAAAAAAATCATTTAACAAATGTTTACTGAGTACTTATTACATGCCAGGAATCATGCTAGGCACTGGTATAGTCATAAACAAAATAGACACTGTCTCTTGAGTTCATGAAATTTATAGTAAGTAAAGGCAGAAGCTGAGACTAAGAACACCTAAGCCAGGATTTTAAAATAGTGCACACAGTCTCAATTAATTTTGAAGTTTAAAACACAGTCAACCATCCTTATTATCCCCCTCACATATCAATGCCACTCTCTTGCCCCACAAACTTTCCCACAAGTTTATAGATCATTTGGCTAAATACAAACACAGAGTTTCTTCACTTTATACATTCTGAAGTTAAGTATGCAAAGGACACAGAGCAAAGCTCATCCCATTCCTTAAACCTAAAATTCTTACTTTTTAAAGAGCCCACTCTGCATCTTGCGGTTCAGGTCTGACTCAATGAGTTTATTCCGTGTCTCCTTTTCACTTCGAAGCTGGAAATGGAGAAAACAGAGAGAAAAGGGAAGAAGTTGACTACTGGTGAAAAATCATCAGTATTGAGAACCAAAATGGTACTGTCATTCTGAAGAAAACAGGACCAACACCAAAGAGGTAGAGGGGAACCTAAGAAAAAGAGAAACATATCAGCTGGGTCTCCTTAGATGACAGAACTCATCCAAGATAGAATAGAAAAGCCATGGTGTTAAGAGCTTCAATAAAACTACTCCTATCAAATATCCTAACCCAATCTTCAATAAAAGCCTACATTCTGAAGGATAAAAAGCCAGAAGGAACCTGAAAGAATTCTTTATGATTCATATACTGAAATAAGTTGGCAACATTTCTAAAGAAAACACAGGTACTAAATGGGAAAGAAGCCCTTAGAGAAAATGGTCTGCTATAGATGCATGCTCTAGACAAGATGTATTTATATCCCTGGAACTCCAAGTTATGCAGAGGGCAAAGATAAGTACCATTCCCACTGGTTTAGAAATATTATTTCATGAATAATACTATTGATGTTCAAAAACCTAACCATGCTAGGTAGAGAATACACAGGAACTCTCTATTTTTGCCAATTCCATGTGAGTCTAAACTTATTTCAGAATAAAAAGTTTTAAAAATTACAAGAACCTAACTGTGCAAAGTATACATCTTATAATTAGGAAGGCTGTTGCTGCTAAATAACAGCGTTGACACTGTATTTGAAAACCCTGGTTTCAGTGCTCCTGATTGCTCAACAAAGAGAACAAAATGAACTTTAAGTTGTGTTTGTCTGAGCTTTACATACGTGACTTCCCCACTGAGCCTTAAAATAACTAGAATCTTCACTTCACCATTCCAGACATAATGCTGAACACAACAGAGGTTAGATATGGTTGATCTGTCCCATCACTGAGCTATGCAGTTCTTTGATTCAGAACTTCTGTTTCCCACATCTGTCCTAAACTTTAGTTTACATTACCTGAGTGACAGCAAGCACAAAAGAAAAAAAAAATGCCATTGACTTTTTTGCCCCTAATGTCCCACCCTAATATCATTGATCTTTATTACCCTCAAATTATTCATCTACTTTATGAGTAAAAAATACGGCTTATTCACTTTTCATCTGTATATCAGGTGGGTTTTCCATTCTGCAGTTTAAACACAAATACCATACTTAAATAGTTCTCTTGCATAGCACTAATTAAGCCAAAGGCATGCAGGACCAAACAATAAAAGATTTAAAATGAAGAGCAGAGAAGGGAGGACTGAATTCTGGATCTTTCATAAAACTGGAATAAGTATGAATCACTGACCAAATACTTCCCTATATCAAATGATGGTTTTAGTATTGTGTGTTTCCTTATTTTTTAAGAAAGAAATATATTATTCTCTGTAATCAATGTACTTAAATAAAGATAGCCTTTTAGTCAACAACAAAAAAAGTCATGAGGTGTCCTCCACTCTGGTACTTTCTATTTCGAAAAACCTCTGATTTAAGCATATCACATTCATTTTCTAGAACTCAAGGGTAATTCTTAGTTTTTTTGTTGCTATTTTAACTTTCTTTTTTTTTTTTTAGACGGAGTTTCGCTCTTGTTACCCAGGCTGGAGTGCAATGGCGCGATCTTGGCTCACTGCAACCTCCGCCTCCTGGGTTCAAGCAATTCTCCTGCCTCAGCCTCCTGAGTAGCTGGGATTACAGGCACGTGCCACCATGTCCAGCTAATTTTTTGTATTTTTAGTAGAGACGGGGTTTCACCATGTTGACCAGGATGGTCTCGATCTCTCGACCTCATGATCCACCCGCCTCTGCCTCCCAAAGTGCTGGGATTACAGGCTTGAGCCACCGCGCCTGGCCTGCTATTTTAACTTTCAACTCCTTGAAGGCCATCTTATAACGAGCAAAAAATCTGAACAATAATGGTTTCTGGGATACATTCTTCCAACAGACTGTTTATGTTACTGAAGGAAACAATGAACATATCTGTAAGGCAGATATGTCCATTTCAACTCTCAGCAGACATAACTGAAACAAACAAGTGATTAAGATACTTGGTGTGAACTGCAAACTATTAGAAAAGTTTTCTGACTCTGCACCAAGTAGACTTAATGAACATTTATAGAACTCTCCACTTTAAATACACAAAATATACACTCTTATCACATCACACCTATTTACAGGTTTAAATGAAACACTGTTTGGCTGCTTGTTAGTTATTTTCTTCCCTCATTTTTTTCTTGTCTCTAATATTAAGCACAATTATAGGCATACCCATTTTTAGACTGCATTCTAGCCCAGGCAATAAAACAACACCCCCGTTCTCTCTCCCTCTTCCTCTTCCTCTTTCTTCCTCTCCTTCATTCTTTTTTTTTTTTTTAATTCTTTCTTTCTTCTTTAAAAAAAAAAAAAAAAGAGGTTTTATTGACTCACAGTTCTGCATGGCTGGGGAGGCCTCAGGAAACTTACGGCTATGGCAGAAGGTGAAGGGGAAGCAAATCACCTTCTTCACAAGGTGGCAGGAAGACATGCCAAGCCAAGGGGGAAAAGCCCCTTATAAAACCAACAGATCTCGTGAGAACTCACTATCACAAGAACAACATGGGGGGAACCACCCTCATAATCCAATTATCCTCCACCTGGTGTCTCCCTTGACACGTGTCTCAGGCAGTTCTTTATAGCAGTAAGAGATTATAATTTGGCGGGGCGTGGTGGCTCACGCCTGTAATCCAAGCACTTTGGAGGCCAAGACAGGTGGATCACCTGAGGTGGGGAGTTCAAGACCAGCCTGACCAACATGGTGAAACCCTGGTCTTTTAAAACTGAATAAATAAATAAAATTAAATTAAAAAAAAAAAGTTTTGAAAGCACCAATCAAAGACTTACCACATTCTGCTTCTTCTGGAGCATCTCCAAATGTTCCACAAGACCCTCATCAGCTACATCAAATGGTGTCTGGCCCTGGCAGAGAAAAGGGACACAATGACTGATAGAAAACAGAAGAAGCAATAACATGACTTTATCAAGGAACTATTCAATACTCACTTTTTGCCTTTGACTCCAATAATAGCCACTTCCTAAACTAATCTACCACGCATTATGATAACAGCTCATCTATCACAGAGGACACATAACAAGAAACACCAAATTCTTTAAATACACAGTTTGTACAACAGTATTGAGGAAATAGCACCATTTCTTTCTTTTTTTTTTTTTTTAGACGGAGTTTCACTCTTGTTACCCAGGCTGGAGTGCAATGGCGCGATCTTGGCTCACCACAACCTCCGCCTCCTGGGTTCAGGCAATTCTCCTGCCTCAGCCTCCTGAGTAGCTGGGATTACAGGCACGCACCACCATGCCCAGCTAATTTTTTGTATTTTTTAGTAGAGGCGAGGTTTCACCATGTTGACCAGGATGGTCTCGATCTTTTGACCTCGTGATCCACCCGCCTCGGCCTCCCAAAGTGCTGGGATTACAGGTGTGAGCCACCACACCCAGCTGAATCATCTTCCTTTAAGTGAGAGGAGGACTGACAAGAAAGTTACCTCTATTAGGAGCCATCAGCACAATTAATAACCCTGACCCATAGTCTGAGAATGAAACATGGGTTCAGGAAAGATGTGAAGCCAGTAAGAATATCTACTAATTAGGCTGGGCGCGGTGGCTCAAGCCTGTAATCCCAGCACTTTGGGAGGCCGAGGCAGATGGATCACGAGGTCAAGAGATCGAGACCATCCTGGTCAACAAGGTGAAACCCCGTCTCTACTAAAAACACAAAAAATTAGTTGGGCATGGTGGCGCGTGCCTGTGATCCCAGCTACTCAGGAGGCTGAGGCAGGAGAATTGCCTGAACCCGGGAGGCGGAGGTTGCGGTGAGCCAAGATCGCGCCATTGCACTCCAGCCTGGGTAACGAGCGAAACTCTGCCTCAAAAAAAAAAAAAAAAAAAAAAAGAATATCTACTAATTAAAAGAAAGGCTGTATCTCTGCACTCCTTGCACAGTGGCTCACACCTGTAATCCCAACACTTTGGGATTACTCAGCTCAATATTCACTTTTTGCCTTTAATTTCAATAATAGCTGCTTCCCTAACTAGTCTACCATACATTATGATAATACCTTTATCTATCACAGACAACACATAACAAAAAACACCAAATCCTTTAAACACAGAGTTTGGGATTACAAGTGGCAAGGCAGGGGAATAACTTGAGCCCAGGAGTTTGGGACCAGCTGGGAAACCGGTGAGACCCCATGTCTACAAAAATAAATTTCTAATTTTAATTAAAATAAAATCAGTAGATATAGGGGATAGGAGTTCCAGAGCTTCTAAGTTGTTTGAAGTGAGGCTGAATAACACTATTTTCTGTCAAACTCAAGGATCTGTCATTATAACATTTTAATGACTCATATAAAAACAGTAACAATAAATCTTTCATACCTCACCACAGACAGTAACATTAGGCTCCTCAAAGCTCATTTTTTGCCAAGAACAAATATATTTTTTTTCCTGTTTTAGAGGCTTGAACATAAAATCAGAAGGTCCATGGGGTTTTATTTTGAATAACAAACATAACTCTGTGTTAATAGGGCCAGAGGCAGGGTGGTAGAAGGTAACATCATAGCTACCAATGATGTATATTTCACCAGAACAGTCAGGCTGCCATCGAATAGAGATGCTAAGCCTTTTATTCTAGAAACCCAGCCACCAATCTCATCATTCTTTTAAAGGTTCAGGCTCACTAACCAGTTTGTTTCGAATATCCATGTCACAGAGTGCTTCTGCCAGGATGGAGCAAGCCTCCTTCACTCCCCAGTGTGCAGCAGCATGGAGAGGAGTCCAGCCATCATAATCCTGAACATTGAGTTCATAGCCAGCCTGAATTAAAAGTCTAAAAAGAAAACCCAAAACAAGACATGTATCTCCTTTATATTACAGTTCTCTGGCAAGTAAACTATTACCTAATTGATATTTCAGGTTTTGGCCCTGAACCACAGGGGTCTTAATGATTACTTCTGCCCTCTAAGGCACAGTTTGGGTTTCATAGTTACTACTTTGTGTACCAATCATAGATAACCTTTACCAATCTTCTCAAAAAAGTCATATTTCCTAGGCATATCCATGTTACACCGCACAAGGGGAGTATACAGAAAGGTATGTACCTAAGATTAACCAAAGCGTAATTCAATTAGCCAAATCACATAACTCTTAAAGGTACATTTTCCATTTTCCAGTGCAGGGAGGAAGTAACATATAAAAATGAAGACTCTAATAGGCTGCGGTCATTCTATCTATCTGTAATAGTGACAACAATAAAAATAAAGTTTAAAAAAATAAAATAAAATAAAGAGTCAACTCTCTTCAGGGTATTTTCCCGACTAGCTTTCTGGTTGTCTTCCTAGGATACTGTATTTATTATAAACCCACATGCCTCCAATTTCTTGTTAACTATAAAGCTATAATTTAACTTGTATGCACGGAAGAGAAAATATTTGACTCCAGAAGACCCAAACTACATTGGGCCCTTATGGATAGCACTCTCAGGCAGAAATGGAGCACCAAAACACTGCTATGCCTACTACAAACCCCCTATTAGGTGAAATATAAAATACTACAGGAGTCCAGTTAACAACTGCACATATAATGCCTTTGGCAGCCCATGTATTTGGGAACGCCTGTCAACATTAAGTACCAATAGCTATCTAAAGCATGTACGGATGTAAGGAAAAATGGAACAGAAAGTAGTAGAGTCCAAATCCATCATATACGTTTGACTATCCTGTGCCAGCTGGACACTGCATACTCAAGATTTATATAATTAATCTAACGACACCAAAGAAATTATATAAGTCAAAAGGGAACAAATGATCACAAGTATTATAGGTCACAAGAAGAGGTAGTTGCAGGGATATTAATGACAAATCATAGAACTGGAAGAAGTCACCTCCTAGGACAGTGTACCTCAACTCTGTTTCACATCATATATGTCAGTGAGAAGCTAGAGGAATGGTAGGAGGGAGGGACACAACCCATGCATGAATACCAGCAAAATGTGAGAAAAGTCTGCACAGTGAGGAAACCAACAAAAAAGGAAACACACCATAGCAGAAAATTTAGTTCAGCCTCTGCTTCTAAAAGCCATTTCATCTTCTCCCAGTGAACCACTCCTGATTGATATAAATGGACAATACCTGAGGACTTCAGAGTAGCCCTTGGCAGCAGCCACATGAAGGGCTGTAGCCCCTGAGCGAGCCTGCCTCACATCCTCTATTTTCCCACTGTTGAGCCACTGGCGGGCATCCTGCAACATCTGCTGCTCTTCTTCTTTTCTTGACTGCTCTAGATCAACTCCTACAGAAACCAGATACCAGACAGCCAGGATTACTAAAGCTCCACTTAAGTGTGACGGGTTATTTTCCTTAGATTACAGCACATCATAAATATAAATACAAATAACAGCCATCAAGTTGGTAATTATCAAATTTAGAAGATCAATGGCATTTGTACACATATTAAGGGTCTTACCAGAGTTAAATCATCAGGTTAAATAATATATGATACTGATCCATTAAGGGAATGCACCTAAAGTTGTTTTCAACAGAACATAAAGACACAGGGGACATTATTTTTACATTATAATATTTGTACAAAGCTATAAACTTCCAAGTCTCTAAAAATTTTAGTTTTCCAACAATCTTTCAAGGTATATATAATACACAATCCCCATTTAACAGATGAGGAAACAAAAATAGAAAGGTTAGACATCTTGCTCAAACTCACAAAACACATTAGTGACAGAGCTTGCCACTAGAACTCTGATATCCTGGGTTCCTCTTTGTCATGCTTCTTCTGGGTCCCTGTCCACTCACTATACCATAGGATTAGTATCCAAAATCTTGGTTTCAGGTATTGATATACTTTAAAAATTGAACTATCTCTAAAGTTCATTTCCATATACAGGTAAATACACTGATTTGAAGATATATAATCTAGAACAGATTAGTAGGTGATCTGCAGTTTAAAAACTTGTCTGCTTTCAAGGGAACGCAGATTTTGTTTCCCTTAAAAACATTATGAAAGAACTCTAAGAGTTCCTCCCGTTAGCCAGTAACTCTCCAATATCTGTGCCAATGAAAAGGGGTTAGGGTGGGGCATACCCCATTATACAAAATAATAAAATGTCTCAAATACAAATATATCCATTCAAAAAGTTTTACACTCATTAGCAGCCTTTGTGCTTGATCTGCTCCCTTTCAGCTCTTAAAAGAGAATCTGCCAGGCACAGTGGCTGACACCTATAATCCCAGCACTTTGGGAAGCCAAGGTGGGTGGATCACCTGAGGTCTCAGGAGTTCGAGACCAGCCTGACCAACATGGTGAAACCCCATCTCTACTAAAAATACAAAAATTAGCTGGGCATAGTGGTGAGTGCCTGTAATCCCAGCTACTCAGGAGGCTGAAGCACCAGAACTGCTTGAACCTGGGAGGCATAGGTTGTAATGAGCCGAGATTACGCCATTGCATTCCAGCCTGGAGACAGAGCGAGACTCTGTCTCAAAAAAACAAATAAAAAAAGGAGAACCTGTCAACTACCTAAGTATTATCTGTGTGATTTTGGGAGATGAATGGGGTGAAGAAGTGACCAATTTAGAACAGATCAGTACTCCAAACACAAAGAAGTGTTAGCAGTGCTACAAAGTTAAGCATATACATAAATACTGCTTTCTTTATTTTTAAATTAATTATTTTTTTATTTTACTTTAAGTTCAGGGGTCCATGTGCAGATCCTGCAGGACTGTTACATAGGTATACACACGCCATGGTGGTTTGCTGCCTCCAACCCCCAGCCACCTACATTAGGTATTTCTCCTAATGTTATCTCTCGCCAATCTCCCCAACCCCTGCTATCTCTCCCCGAGACCCTCATCCCCCAACAGACTTCAGTGTGTGATGTTCCCCTCCCTGTGTCCATGTGTTCTCATTGTTCAACACCCACTTATGAGTGAGAACATGCAGTGTTTGGTTTTCTGTTCTTGTGTCAGTTTGCTGAGAATGATGGTTTCCAGATTCATCCACGTCCCTGCAAAGGACATGAATTCTTCCTTTTTTATGGCTGCATAGTATTCCATGGTGTATATGTGCCACATTTTCTTAATCCAGTCTATCTTTGATGGACATTTGGGTTGGTCCCAAGTCTTTGCTGTTGTAAATAGTGCCAAAATGAACATACATATGCATGTGTCTTTATAATAGATCGATTTATAATCCTTTGGGTATATACCCAGTGATGGGATTGCTGGGTCAAATGGATAAATATCTCTTTCAATAGAGTATGCTCCTTAACTGAAGAGTCAGCAATCAAAATAGAATAAGTGGTTTCTCCAATCAAAACTATTTTTTAAAACTTGATTTTTTAAAAAGTTGTTTGTACATTTTAAAGCAAATCTTAGGAGATAAAACTGAGTGAAAACGGAGGTTAAGCTAAGCACAAAATTCTTCAATTCAATAGTGCACAAAACCACACACTATAGCTCATGCCTGTAATCTAAGCACTTTGGGAGGCTGAGGCGGGCAGGTCACTTGAGGTTAGGAGTTTAAGGCCAGCCTGGCCAACATGGTGAAACCCTGTCTCTACCAAAAAATACAAAAATTAGCCAGGCATGGTGGTGCACACCTATAGTCCCAGCTACTCGGGAGGCTGAGGCAGGAGAATCACTTGAACCTGGCAGGCAGAGGTTGCAGTGAGCCAAGATGGCACCACTGCACTCCAGCCTGGGCAAGAGACCCTGTCTCAAAAAAAAAAGGACACAAAAACTATACATGGAAGGCAGCAAAAGCAAGTAGTTACTGACCTAGAAACATCATTATATTAAGGTGAGATCAGCATACTTTCTCTAAAAAGCCAAATATGAAATATTTTCAAGTTTGTGATTCATCCAATCTATCACAACTACTCAACTCTGCTGTTGTAGCACAAAAGCAGTTTTGGATAATACGTAAACAATGCACAAAGCAAGAATTGGCCCTGACTGTTCTAAAAGTTCCTATTGGGAAAGACCACTGGAACTAAATCCTCTGGGATGAACTGCAGATTGTGAGTAAGGTAGTTTAGCCGAAGGACTGAAAAAAAAAAAAACTCACTACAAATCTTGTCCACAGAGTTTTATGATAGAAAAATAATCCAGGGACTTCCAGGGAGAAGAATTACATCCTATTCTGTGAAATCGATTCTTTTAAAACTATAAAATAGGCATTTTGAGAATACATTATTCTAAATTAGTGTCCTCACTTTAACAAATTATCATAATAATTTTCATGATTAGTTACAATAAATATCTTTAGCCACACCACTTTTAGCTCTCATCAAGGGAAAAGATGCAAAGTTACAAACTGAATTTGGTTAATACTCAGATTTACACTGTATCCCAACACCTTGCACACCCACAGTAAGAAACATTCACACTTCTCATCAGGTCACTCTTAACTGTATGATGGGTATGCAACCTCTGAATGGCAAAAAAAAAAAAACCAGAATGACTGGTCATCCTTTTGGCATCTGGCCTATTTTTGTGTGAGTCATTATGAGGATAAGTGATGCTGGATTAATGATTAATGCAGTACAGATAGATCAAATCCTCTCCTGTCATATGATAGTGAAACACTCTACACAACAAATGGATTATTTTCTGTAAATGGCAGTGTTTGAGAATCTTTCCTGGCCCCCTCCAATCCATGAGGTTACCTTGCTTCTTTACTTGCTCCAGAAGAAGATCCTTCATGGCTAGCTCTTCTGCAAGGTCAGAGGGAACTTCACCTTCACTATTGACAATACCTACACTGGCTCCGTGGTTAATGAAATACCTGCATAGACAAGATACAGGATCAGTATTATCTGCCAATCTAATGTAAATTTATACTCATGCATCTGACATTCAATACACAGTAAAGTCTCTATTTTGAGTTTAAAATATTGTCCCAGTTAAGATCTTCCATTATTAATTTATATGTGCCTTAAACTTCAATAATTAAGACCGAGGGCTTCCCCATTTCCTAATTAGAGCAATGCAAACAAACAGGGTTTCTTTCACACTCATATTACTAACTACCAGCCTCTTACTCCCAGTGGATGGCAAGAGGATTTCTAAGTAACATAAACAAGGCATGCAGCCTTAAACATTCCCAATACCAAAGTGGAGCTTATTAAGTAGTGTTGGGGGTGTGAAAACAGAAGAATAAAGCATGCATTAAAATGTGCATAAATCTGCCTTAATTATGCCTCCACAAGACTCTCCTATCAACCAACCATCCACATGAAATCTTTCTCTACTCTAAGGTGAAACTAAATTACTTAAGAAGAAACATTAGGTTGGGCGCAGTGGCTCACACCTGTAATCCTAGCACTTTGGGAGGCTGAGGCAGGTGGATCATGAGGTCAGGAGTTTGATACCAGCCTGACCAACATGGTGAAACCCCATCTCTACTAAAAACACACACACAAAAAGTAGCCAGGCATGGTGGCACATGCCTGTAATCCCAGCTACTTGGGAGGCTAAGACAGGAGAATTGCTTGAACCCAGGAGGCAGAGGCTGTGGTGTGCTGAGATCACGCCATTGCACTCTAGCCTGGGCAACAAGAGCATAACTCCATCTAAAAAGAAAAAAGAAAAAAGAAAGAAGAAGAAGAAAAGAAGAAGAAAGAAGAAGAAAGAAGAAAGAAGAAAGAAGAAAGAAGAAAGAAGAAGAAGAAGAAGGAAGAAGAAGGAAGAAGAAGAAGAAGAAGAAGAAGAAGAAGAAGAAGAAGAAGAAGAAGAAGAAGAAGAAGAAGGAGGAAGAAGAAGAAGAAGAAGAAGAAGAAGAAGAAGAAGAAGAAGAAGAAGAAGAAATATTAAAATGTTAAAATAATTAAATTATAAATCTGAATAGAATACTTGATTCTGAAGAAGAAAGTTCTGATAATTTCAGTACCTTACATAGAGCTTTTCTGATTTTCAAAGTGCCTTCACATAAAATTATATCATAAGTCTTAGGCAACATTTTTTTTTTTAATGGGTCGCTTACTTTAATAACAATACATATACCATGTTATCACGATGGAATGTAAATTCAGTTTAGACAAGAGAATTTCACAAGTGTGATGGCATTCCGTACTATATAAAAGTTTGGGTATACTGTCTGGCCAAACCAGCTTGCTCATAAGTCATTAATCAAATCCATTATAGGTCATCTGTTCAGTTAAATGTTTATAATTCTTTTTTTTTTTTTTTTTTTTTTTTTTTTTTTGAGACGGAGTTTCACTCTTGTTATCCAGGCTGGAGTGCAATGGCGCGATCTCGGCTCACCGCAACCTCCATCTCCTGGGTTCAAGCAATTCTCCTGCCTCAGCCTCCCGAGTAGCTGGGACTACAGGCGTGCACCACCATGCCCAGCTAATTTTTGTATTTTTAGTAGAGATGGGGTTTCACCATGTTGACCAGGATGGTCTCGATCTCTTGACCTCGTGATCCACTCGCCTCAGCCTCCCAAAGTGCTGGGATTACAGGCTTGAGCCACCGTGCCCGGCAAATGTTTATAATTCTTATGGAAAAAATAAGCAATGCACACATTTAAAAAGTGTTCATTTACTTTGCTATGAGTACTTAAAATACATATTTCTATTTCAAGATGACATTCAAAATTTATTCTAATATAACAGCAGCAAAAATATAATTTGCAGTTACACAAGAACTGAACTAGAATCTGTAAGTTATTCTCATGTTTATGACTGAGAGTCTTTAATAAATACTACCATTATGCAGCTCTACTCTAAGCTTTCTACATTTGGTTTAAACACATGCACATATACATACTGTTAGTTGTGGAAAGCTTTACAAGTTATATTCCATGAACTTTTTGGACAGAGTTCTAAAAGGGCCACCCAGTCCACAAAACAGGCAGAAAAAAGTTAAATTGACTGGGGCAAGTAGGACTCTTATATAACATCCAAAACATCTGAGATTCTGCAGCAAACTGGGAGTACTTCAGGGTTGGCCTGTTATTTTCTTTAGAACTAAGTTCAGCGGGACAGTTTAAGAAGGTGAACATTTCGGCCGGGCGCGGTGGCTCAAGCCTGTAATCCCAGCACTTTGGGAGGCCGAGGCGGGTGGATCACGAGGTCAAGAGATCGAAACCATCCTGGTCAACATGGTGAAACCCCGTCTCTACTAAAAATACAAAAAAACTAGCTGGGCGTGGTGGTGCATGCCTGTAATCCCAGCTACTTAGGAGGCTGAGGCAGGAGAATTGCCTGAGCCCAGGAGGCGGAGGTTGCGGTGAGCCGAGATCGCGCCATTGCACTCCAGCCTGGGTAACAAGAGCGAAACTCCGTCTCAAAAAAAAAAAAAAAAAAAAGAAGGTGAACATTTCAACATCATCAAGTGCATTTAGGTGACATGTTTCTTTCAAGTTAACTTGACTTCCTTGAATGACCTAGTTAGTAAACTAGCCACTAGTAATGAGGTCACAACAGGCAAATCAAGCCTGCAAGAAAGGAAGCCAATACTCAAAATGCCATTTTACCATCTAAACCCATACAAATTAGTTTATTTTCAACAATATGTAACTTCAATAAAGAGATGTCTAACTAAAGTAAGCTCCTCCAACAAGACCAAGACAGCATCTCTTCTTCTAAGGCTTAGGTTTTGCCCAGTATTCCTGATACACAGAATCGCCCATACCAACAGTCACTGCTCCTACAACAAAGCCCTGGGATGCCACATGCATGTGGATCAGATGAACAGACATTTTAGTATTTCCGCTGCTCTTCAATTTGTATAACCCATATGCAACGATTGCTGCAAAACCTGCCATTCCAATGGGGACGAATGGTGCCTCTTTAGCTTTTCGAATAAGTTTGGATCCCTAATCTCCATCATATGAAGAATGGGAAATATCTGGGTCTGCTGACATAGTGGTTTCTTGAAGAATCTCCCTGAGAATTTTCTATGAGGTTCTAGAGCAAGAAAACCTCTCACATGCCAACACGCTGCTGATTCCTGCATGCATGCCCAGTCCCGCAGCTTCTTAGGCAACATTTTGAAGTAGGCAATGTGGGTATTATTACCATGACTTTAAGAAATTGAGGTCCATATATATAAAGCAATTTTCTCAAAATCACATAGCTGGCAAATGGCAGAGGGTCCAGCCCCAGTCTTGACTCAAATCTAGTTCATCATTTCTCTAGATCAAGTCACTTTTGGGCCAGTGAGAACTCTAATAATGCTAGGAGCTCTCTCAAATACTCAGAAGTATTTAAAGAATAAAGAAAAATTATTCAGATTAGACTACAAGCCATTCAACAATTCTGTAAGGTCTTTTAGGCCGACTGACCATGCCATGGATGGCATGGTGACCTCTGCGACCTGCACGTACACTCTAGATGAGTTCCTGGAACTAGAAAGTCTGAAGTAACTATAAATCTACAAAAGGAGAAGAAATGATCAACCCCTGTGGCACCTAATTAACTTTTAGACATTCTTCTATTGTTCCTTATTTCTGCCTCAACTGATAAGGCAACTGGACTTTGTAACTGGCCTTGGTCAACCTTGTGACTCCAGACCCTACGACCCCCTCCCAGCTTGCAAAAGCTGCCCTGACCTGTAACTTATATAACTTTCTACTGCCTACCCCAAACCTATAAAACCAACTCCTATCCCACCTCCCTGAGCTGACTCTCTTTTTGGACTCAGCCCACCTGCACCTGGGTAAATAAAGAGCCACGTTGCTCACAAAAACCCTGTTTGGGGAATCTCTTCATTCAAAGCGCATGTTTAACAAATGCAATAAATATTTACTGGTCCCCTACCATATTCAAGGAATCACATTTTAGACACCGCAGAAGATTTAAAAAAAAAAAAAAATTTCCAGGCTTAACTTGCTCAGCCCACTAAAAAAAAAAAAAAAGATAATCAATATGTGCCCACTGGCCACTGCATTCAAAGAACTGGCAGAGGGGGCCAGGCGCAGTGGCCGACCCCTATAATCCCAGGCAGGCAGATCACTTGAGGCCAGGAGTTTGAGACAAACCTGACCAACATGGTGAAACCCTGTCTCTACTAAAAATACAAAACTTAGCCAGGCATGGTAGCAGGTACCTGTAGTCCTCAGTTACTCAGGAGGCTGAAGCACAAGAATTGCTTGAACCCAGGAGGTGGAGGTTGCAACAAGCCAAGATCAGCCTGGGTGACAGAGCAAGACTCTGTCTAAAAACAAAATTATAAAATTAAAAAGTTGGCAGAGGGAAAAGAATCAATAGAGATTAGATTAAGACCATGTTTTTGCTTTCTCAGTGCCTACTACTTGGTATAATAGGGCCTCAATAAATATTTGTTAATTTATGGATCAAACCCACATGTCTAAAGCTCAAAGGCCTTCACAATTCACCTGACTTTCAACCATCTCCTTCATTCCCTTATAGTCTCAGAGGAAGACAGACCTTATTCGATGGCAAAACTAACTCTATTTTTATTCTTAATTCTATCAAGTCCCAGTTTTCTTTTCATAAATTACCCCTTCATTTCCACATATTCAATAGCTCTTTTCTTCTTATTCCTCTCCCTTAGGCCAAAGAAATATTTAGCTACATCTCCCTCACCCTGAAATATCAAAATACAAATAATACACATGGTAGGCACTCAATAAATGCTTGCTGGATTGAAGCGTACCCAATCTATACTCTATAATCAAACTAAACCACTTACTGTTCCCAAACACATCAACTCTTACCCAGCTCTCTTCCACAGCTTGTTTCTTTCAAATAGGTGGGACACTTTTCTTTCTCTTTTCCCATGTAGAAACCTTTCACTTCTTTCAAAGTTCATTTAAAATGCTTTTGCCTTCATGAATTCTTTCCTGTTCTCACAAACTGAATTCCCTCTTGCCTTCCTTTAACCCCATTCTTCCTCTTCTCCTCCCCAATGAACACTAATTCTAGACCTGTCATGACTTAACACTGTACCTCAATGCAACCATTCCATCAGATTGAAAGCTACTTGAATGCAACGTGAAAGGAAAATAAAAACTTGGGACCCTAATTTCACTATGCCAAAAGAAAAAAAAATAAGCTGAAAGCTGAGTCATGCAAGAAGCTGCCTTACCTTCTGTTCTTAAGCAGATAGCTACAGATAAAAAGTTAAATATCTCTTTAGGTTCTATGTTTACCTCTACATTCACCTTATCTTACGTAAAGTGCTGATTTACTAAGCGTGAGATGAATACTTGACTATTCCCCTACCAGCTCTTTTCCTATTGCATGTGAATTCAGGAATGTGACCATGCCCTCCCCATTCCCCCTCCAGGCTGCTTTTCCCTTTTAAGTACTGAAGCTCTCAAAATCATCTTTGGAGAAAGGCACAGATCTGTCTCCTGGGCACACGTCCTTATCTTTGGTAAAATAAACTTCTAAATTGATCGAGACCTGTCTCAGATACTTTTTAGTTTACAGCAACAACTGGGTCTTCCTCACTATTATCATCGCCATGGCATCTAACCCTTGCTTTTTTCTCTTGGCATTCCATAAATATTGCTTGAATTACATGAAATATCTTAACCACTCTGCTCTGATGTCTATTTCATCCCTACTGGATCAGGCATAATGTCACTTGGGTATACAGGACCCTGCTTTTCCCATGTTCTACAATCAAGAACATGGGAAATGTTCCAGTAGAAAGTAATTGGGCTCTCTGTTTTTCTATTTTCTATAGTTTTTTGGGGAGAAAGCTAAAAACCTTTTTAGTTTTACTTTTACCTGGACAAGAATAATTATCAACCTATAATTTTTTTTTTAATGGGGTTTCACCATGTTGGTTAGGCAGGTCTTGAACTCTGGACCTCAGGTGATCCGCCTGCCTTGGCCTCCAAAGTGCTTGGATTACAGGCGTGAGCCACCACGCCCGGCCCTATAAAGTAATTTCTACTTTATCTCTGAAAATCCTTACAGTTGCCCAAAGGCTCACAAACAGCCACTAGCTCAATATGCCCCTAGAAAATAAAGCCGCCTTCTTCCTAACTCATCACCAATACAAGGTCTTTATGCTACTATTCTAAGGGAGGAAGAAAGGAAATAGAATATGTTGAAAAACTGAGACTAAATTAGCATCTCAAAAAACTATAAAGGTAAATGCTGTACCTTTGGGTCAATCAGCTGCTCCTAAGTTAAACATTTATTCATAATAAAAATGTAAAAAACACTCAGCATTAAGCCTGAACTCATTTTAAAATGAGGAAAAAAGCCTCTGAAGCTCCCTCCTTTGATGAAACATACTGAGACAAAAGATCATCATGAAACATGAAATAGAACGTACTTGTATTGTTCCCAGAAAGCTAGTATGCCTTGATTCAGTTCTACTCCCTTGAAAGTTAGAGTTCCTAATGATTCTGGGAATAAGAGTATAAAATCTAAGATCTTTAAATGACAAAAATAAAAACGATGAGATGATCAGGGACTGATCTTATTTAAAATATTCTCCATTGGCCCTGAGGTAAAGCAACCAAAATGAATAGTACAAACAATGTGTTTTTTTCCATTGTATAAAAAAAATGCTGCATACTGCAAATAAAGAAATGACAGTCAAGTCAAAACCTGTCTAATAATGATATACATAAAATAAAATAAAGGCCATCTCTACCACCACCCCACCTCTGCAATGGACCTGGTCTAGATCACCTTTCTCCTGGTCAGACTTCCATGTCTAATTTGTAATAATTTGTCTTAGGAAACAGTAACTCCCACAAATTTATTTCATTCAAGGTAATATTTGTTTGAGCTAGAGACTGTTACATTTTGAACTTACTTCCAAAAGAACTATATTCATTCATAAAGATGAATTAAAGAAATCACTGTAAAAAATGCAATTACAATCATTCTCTGTACTTAGCTTCACACAACAGAAGGATGAAACCCCATCTCTACTAAAAATACAAAAAAAAATTAGCTGGGCATGGTGGCACGTGCCTGTAATCCCAGCTACTCAGGAGGCTGAGGCAAGAGAATTGCCTGAGCCCAGGAGGCGGAGGTTGCGGTGAGCCAAGATCGTGCCATTGCACTCCAGCCTGGGTAACAAGAGCGAAACTCCGTCCCCCCCACCCCAAAAAAAAAAAAAGAGTTTGAGACGAGCCTGACCAATGTGATGAAACCCTGTCTCTACTAAAAATACTAAAGTTAGTTAGGCATGGACTACTAGTGCAAGCCTGTAGTCCCAGCTACTCAGGAGGCTGAGACAGGAGAATTGCTTGAACCCAGGAGGCAGAGGTTGCAGTGAGCCGAGATCGCGCCATTGCACTCCAACCTGAATGACAGAATGAGACTCCATCTCAAAAAAAAAAAGAAAGAAAGAAAAAAAAAAAAAACGGGAAAAAATGGAATCCTTGAATGTAATGAGATTTGGTAGCTCGAATATCAATCACAAACACCCACCTGAACAAATAGCAATCAAAAGGCCAACATGTTCTATAAATGTTTCTTAAATAAATCTTTTAAGTAAAATCACTTTAACTCTTGGGCATCAGCATTCTGGCGTTACTGGATAAGATTAAGAATAAGAGCCCTCCTTATTAGACTCTGAAAACAGGCAGCCTAGAGGATGAAAAGGTTACTGACTTTTATTGGAACAGAGGGAGGAATCGAGAGTGAAGAAAACCGCATTGTTGACTTCTGTTGGCTTTGGGGCCAATACAGTCATCTACTTTTTAGAACAAGCAGCCCAGTCAAACATCAGTGCTGCTGCCTAAAGTTTCTCTGGCTCTGACTCTCCCTTTGTTTAAATTCTCCCACTGACCATCCCTGGGTCAGCAGCAAACCTAGTAACTCAGGCTCTCCCTTAGGAAACCTGGGCAAATGAGACTCTGTGGGAAGTCATTCTCAGGCCTCTACAGAGCTGCCAACATAATTCTCCCTGCTGTTTGCTGAACAGGAGAAATGTAATGGAGCTCTAATCATATTATTGAAAAAGTCCCTCAAACAAGCAATGTGATTTTCAAAGGAGCATAGAATATCATGATTTTATTTAGGGAATTTACCTTAACAATATAAATTTACCCTCATCTATAATACACTCAAATGCCTCATTTTAAAGATATTTCAACTGCCAAAGTCTCTTCCTTGTTTAAAAATAAACTCCCCGATCATTCCTTCATACAACAGATATTTATTCAGTGCCTCTTACATCTCAGGTACCACATGGTCAGGATTCTTCTGCCCAACAGAAGAACAACTAGTTGTCCCGAAGATTAGTAGCTACTAATGTAGCTTATTAAACATTCCCACTCAACTAATGTGGAGAACACATGCCAGTGCCCACCTTCCCTTTATTCCACATGTTTAGGCTCATTCTTCTGCTATTAACTACATGAGTGCTGTGACTGGTATGCTAGGCATTTTTAAATCAGTGCTTCATTTGTACTAAGCACTGATTTAAAACAAACAAACAAAAAACAATAAAACAGGTTTACAAAGAATCCAGAAAAAAATCCCCAGGTCTGCCTATATTCATGCCCAGCGATAGTTGTTCAGAAAGTGAACCCAGACAATCCAACAGCCACCTCTGCATATCCCAGCAAATACAAATTACCTGAAAATAGAAGCAAACAAAAAGAGTTTCAACAAAAAAACTATGGGTTTAGCAGCTTTATAAAACATTGTATCAGCTATTCCTTAAACATAATTCAACTTTCTGCTTTTGTAATCTGTAATAAAGAGAGATTAAAACAATTTATAAAATTAGAATTACTAAGAGTAGAGGAGTAATGAAGCCTATTTCTACAAATACTGCAAAGCCACACACACAGAGACTCACTCACTCTGCTATGTTGAGATAGCCACAGGAAGCTGCTGCATGAAGGGGTGTCCAGCCCTCGTTGTCTTGCTGATTTACATTGGCTCTGTTCTCCACCAGAAACTTCACCATGTCCAAATTTTCATCAATACAGGCCTAAAAAGAAAAGTCCATTCATTCACTCAACAAGTATTCACTGAGTTCTACTATGTGCCAGACACTACTCTGGGCAGTAATAATGCCCAGCCATTCTAAAATACATTAATTTCTATTTCTTCCATACTGTGTCCAGAGCATGACTTCTAGGCTTTATGATCTTATGCAAGCCCCTTAATGTCCCATGCCTTAATATCTCAACTGTGAAACACGTATAATGATACTTAATCTAATTTATAGTACTATTAGTATTAATTGTGAAACTGATTTCTAAAGAGCTATAAATGAGTAAGCTGTTACATCATTAAATTATAAAAAGGAAAGCATGTTACAAAACACTGATTTGTATATGAACTTTACTTCATCGCCACCTATTTGTCCCAGATGCTTATTAATTTTAAAAGAATATAATCAGAGGATCGCCTAAGGCCAAGAGTTTGAGACCAGCCTGGGTAACACAGTGAGACCCAATCTCTATCATAAAAAAATTCATTCATCCATTCATTTAAACAAAGAAAAAAAATCACACAGGATCAAATGCTTTTTTTCTCAGTGGGAAGTTGTAGTTTAAGGCTCAAGAATTGCTAAACAACCCCTACTTTGGTTTGAAAGCGTAGGGTGATCATTTCAAACAGAAAAAATGTATTTTTGTGTATTTCTGAATGGCTTCAAACACTATGGCAAAGTATGCTTGCAGTTATGGATGGTTAGGGATTCTCATCTGCTCATTTCATGGCAGAAATTAGGAGAAAGCAGAGAAGCTTTTTGAATAAAGGCTTTAGGATTACCATAAGACTAAAAGATATAGTCACGAACAGCAATAAGATCTAAAAAAAACCAAAAGGTTGTCTTGACATAGTTACAGAATAAAAAATGTGGTAGAAGGCCCAATGTGAAAACGGTAATCATTATCAAGGCTTGGATGGTTACAAAACCATTGGGATAATTCAGGACCAAGAAACAAATGAGACTCCCTTTTCAAAACTTGCCTTTTAATCCCCTCTCCTTTTTTATTTTTTTCATGATTCTTGACAAGGAGTACTTTAAGATAATCCCCTCCTTTAAAAAACAAGGCTAAAACTTCAGCTAAGGAAGAATTATCCAAATCAAAAAAATTTCATAATATTATTTCTTGCATTTTTATTGTGTTGACATTTACAATAATGATGCAAAAGCAACGGTGAGTAAAACTGCTGGTGTCTTACCACAAAGCAAGACAATCGCATCAAAAAATACCAGCAGGTACTGTATTCTTCCTTATCACATTCTCACAGTTAAAAAAATAAAAAAAAGGCCTGGCGCGGTGGCTCAAGCCTGTAATCCCAGCACTTTGGGAGGCCAAGGCGGGTGGATCACGAGGTCAAGAGATCGAAACCATCCTGGTCAACATGGTGAAACCCCGTCTCTACTAAAAAATACTAAAAATTAGCTGGGCATGGTGGTGTGTGCCTGTAATCCCAGCTACTCAGGAGGCTGAGGCAGGAGAATTGCCTGAACCCAGGAGGCGGAGGTTATGGTGAGCTGAGATTGCGCCATTGCACTCCAACCTGGGCAACAAGAGCGAAACTCCGTCTCAAATAAAAAAATAAAAATAAAAATAAAAAAAGAAAAAAAAGAGCCGGGCGCGGTGGCTCAAGCCTGTAATCCCAGCACTTTGGGAGGCCGAGGCGGGTGGATCACGAGGTCGAGAGATCGAGACCATCCTGGTCAACATGGTGAAACCCCGTCTCTACTAAAAACACAAAAAAGTAGAAGGGCATGGTGGCGCTTGCCTGTAATCCCCGCTACTCAGGAGGCTGAGGCAGGAGAATTGCTTGAACCCAGGAGGCGGAGGTTGCGGTGAGCCGAGATCGCGCCATTGCACTCCAGCCTGGGTAACAAGAGCGAAACTCCGTCTCAAAAAAAAATAATAAAAAAATAATAATAATAATAAAAAATAAAAAATAAAAAAAAGAAAGCCAATTTCACTGAAGAATAACTTTGAAGATGCAGTAGAAATTTTTTTTAAATATTCTGTGTGAGAAAATGTAAAGTATATCTAAAGTACTTCTGCTGCATTTTGAAGTACGATGGTTGATTCTAGGAAAAAGCACCTCAGGCCAGGTGTGGTAACTCAGGCCTATAATCCCAATACTTTGAGAGGCTGAGGCGGTAGGACTGCTTGAGCCCAGGAGTTCAACACCTGCCTGAGCAACATAGACCCCATCTCTACAAAAAATTTAAAAATTAGCCAGGCATGGTGGCATGCACCTGCAGGCCCACCTACTCAGGAGGATAAGGTAGGAGGATGGCTTAAGCCTAGGAGGTCAAGGTTGGGTGAAAGAGCAAGACCCTGTCTCAAAAACAAAAACAAAAATAAAAACACACCATTTGTGCATCTGCTTCAGTTATGAGATGAACTAGACACTTTTTTAAAAATAACACTTTTTATTCAAAAGAATAACCAACAAATTATGATTATTCAGACTTGAAAATGAACAAAGTAAGCTTGTCACACCAGAGAAAATAATCAGCATGTGCTGCAATAAAATTTGACCATCCAAGTGAAAAGAAGAATTCTGGGAAACAGTTACCACCATGAGCTGACAACTTCCCAGTATTCACTTTTCTGATAAGATCTGTTTGACTATATAATGAAATGTATTTACATTTTTGTAAGTCAATGAACCTTTATTTTCCAAATAAACAAATACATGGTGTTAGAAAATCACACATGAAGTAAAAGATTCATTCAAAGTACAAGTTAAACCAATGGGTTTTAATGTAACAGAGTAAAAAAAGTCCATTGACATGGTTTCAGTTTCCACACTGCACAAACATTTAAGAAAGTCATGTCTTAAACTACCATTTCTAAAACTTACATTTAAAAAACTGTCAGGTTGGGTGCAATGGCTCATGCCTATAATCCCAACTCTTTGGGAGGTGGATCACCTGAGGTCAGGAGACCAGCCTGAGATCACCTGAGACCAGCCTGGCCAACATGGTGAAACACTGTCTCTATTAAAAATACAAAAACTAGACAGGTATGGTGGTGCACACCTGTAATCCTAACTACTCAGGAGACTGAGGCACAAGAATCGCTTGAACCCAAGAGGTAGAGGTTGCAGTGAGTCAGGATTGCGCCACTGCACTCTAGCCTGGGCCACAGAAACTCTGTCTCAAAAAAAGAAACAAACAAACCATCACTTGTTGGAATTTGGTATAATATCCAAGAAAAACAACTACAATTGTCTGAACAGACTATTAAAATGTTCCTCCCTTTTCCAAATATATACTTTTGAGAGGCCAGATTTTACATACTTTCCTCAAGATAATATATCACAACAGTGAATACAGATATTAAAAGAAATTTGTAAAAATGTAAAACAGTATCATTATTTTTAATTAAAATGTCATTTATATTAACATGTAATCAGGGTCATCGTTGCTTTAGATTACTTAATAACTACATATTTTAAAAATTTCTCAGTAACATATAATAACCAATACAAACAAAGTTCTCTTAAATTTTAGGAGTCCTTAATGAATACATTTTTTAATATATAAATTTTTTATTGCACTTTAGGTTCTAGAGTACATGTGTAGAACATGCAGGGTTGTTGCATAGGTACATACATGGCAATGTGGTTTGCTGCCTCCATCCCCCCGTAATCTATATCTGGCATTTCTCCCCATGTTATCCCTCCCCAACCTCCCTACCCACTGCTGTCCTGTATTCCCCCACAACAGACCCCAGTGTGCAATGCTCCCCTCCTTGTTTCCATGTGTTCTCACTGTTCAACACCCACCTATGAATGAGAACATGCGGTGTTTTTTTTCTGTTCTTGGTGTCAGTTTGCTGAGAATGATGGTTTCCAGATTCATCCATGTCCCTACAAAGGACACGAACTCATTGTTTTTTATGGCTGCATGGATTTTTAGGCATAAAGGAATCCTGAGATCAGTTTAATAACCACTGTCTTCAATCAAATATACCAAAAGATATTTCATGGTGATAATGAACACTATTTAAACAGGAAAAGTTACTATAGAAAGAATTAAAGTTAGAACTCTAGAGGACCCTTGTAACTACAGGACTTAAGTAGCACATATCATACCAAGAGAACTTACAGGAACTCCCTTCAGAGATCAGAGATAAACCTCCTATCAATCCTGCCTAGAAAGGGATGAATGAAAAAAGGTTGATTTCATTTAGATGAAAATTTAATTAGGTAACTTGGTTACAAAAAAGCATCTTTGTTATTTTTTCCCAAAATAAATGATACTCCTTTTACAGTTACTGAGATTAGCTAAAAATATCCATCTATGTTTGATTTGATGCTATATATTTCTCCAATCTGACCTTCTGGCCAATCTGACTGTTATATGTTATAGCCAATACTCACAATGGTCTCCTTTTCAATAGCAGCTCCAGAAATTACATTTCTTCTATGATGTTTTCTTAGATTTATCAACTTCCACAAGCATACCCCATTCTTCACCATGTAAAATGTTTCATAATTATTTATCATATTTACACATAGTTCATAAGTATGTCTATCAATAAATTGGTCATACAGTGTATGTCTGCGTTTGCAATACCATATGGCAAGGTCTGGCCAACTCATTACAGAGTATCTCAATAAAAACTGTAAATAAACACTTTTATTTTTCTTTTTTGTAAATAAACATTTTTAAGTAAAAGGATGGAAGGGGACACTTTCAAAAAGGTACTGAAGTTCAAGAAGAAAAAGGTATTTTAAAGGTTGTACTAAAACACTCTTTGCCCTTAATAATAACTCCTATATCAAGAAGGTCAAATGTGCTGTCTAAACCTGTGTAGGCCAGGACAGCTGGGTCAACTGCTTCTTGCTGGGTTGCAAAATTTCTTTGGCTCAGAAAGAACAATCTAAATGCTTAGCTCTAATGTTCACACCACCGTCAAGCAGACTTTTAGAAGCTAATGTTTTCAAGATCATTCTTTGGCCTTTAAAGACGACAGCAGCCACATTCCAGAGGCT